TTCAAATTTAGAATATATTAAATATAATACAAATATAAATTAATATTGATTATTACACAAATAAAACTATTTGTTATAATAGTCTAAATTTATTTTTGAAAATTCTTATAAATTATTTCCATTGAAATAAACAAATCTGATGCTATAATATCGTATTTAATAACAAATATTTTTTAAAAGGTTTCTTTGTTCGTTATTTAAAGTATATAGGTCATAGCATAATTATTTCAATCATTATTTAATAACATCGACTAGATTATACTATTTAATCGAAAATTTATGTCAAGTAGTTTATATTTACAAAATTTAAAAAAATAGAATCCCGAAACAAATACTAAATGTTAATTTAATTCATTAGATCCAAACAAAGTAACAATTAAAATCTATTATAAACTAAAAAAATTAATTTTTGTTGGTTCATTTAATTTGCTAAGCTATAGTTGAAATCAATTAATTGTAGAATATTACAATAGTAGTTTAGTGTTCTTATTTTTTTTATCGATTCACCACACAACCTTGACTCTTAAGTTATCTGTTTTATAACAGTTATGTTCAAACAAATTGAAATAATTTAAGAGATGACGATTATCAGGGACATCATATTTGGAAATAGTAAGGGTTATATATATTTTCTTAGAAAAATATCTTAATTCTTATGTAAGTTATTTAATTTTATATTATATATTACATATAAAATTAAAATTTTTTGAAGTTTTTTAAAATTAATTTTTCTAAGTGGATTTAATTGTGTGTTTGTTTTACATATTCTAAATAAAATAATTAGTAAAAATTACACATAAAAAATCAGTATGGACGGTACATTTTTGATAAGAATAGCGCACTCAAGTCCATGTGTTTGGCGGTATTATGTGAAAAATACTGCATGATATTATATTAGTACCACAAAGCGAAGATCAGCCACCTAAGCTCTAAAAATAAACTATATTTAAAAACAATTGATAGTTTTTATTGAATACCGTTGCTTGGAAGTAACTCAAAGATTATCCATTTTTCATATTGTATTATTAGTGATAACATATAAATAGGTTACCTTTAGACCCGGAATAGAGTTGAAATCACTCATTTGTGATTTATTTTATAAAATTATTTGACAACTGACAAACATACACATACATTCATATTCATATTATATGGTTATTTTAAGATGATTTCTAAAATTAATATATCATCATAATTAATCTTTCAGTCATTTTCTAATAGGTTATTTAAAAACTAATTTTTTATTTTTAATTTATGTTAAATAATAATAATAAAAATTATACATATGTATAAAGTATTTTTTTCGTGTAAGTGTAATGATAGTCTATAACAAAGGCATCTTAATAGGGAAGACCAGTAGAGGTAATTTTTCTACTGTTTTTTCCTTATCTACTAATTTTGAATTTCATTTCTAAACAATTTATTGAAAATCTATTTATTTTTAATGGTTGGAATAAAATGTTTTTTGACATTTTTGTTGTTAAAAATTTGGGATCTAAAATACAATATATTCAGAAGACAAAGTCTTTAATACTACAGAAATATTGTTTCCTCAGAAGTTTGTGTAAAAATAAAGTAATTTAAACAATTTTTCTTTACTGCTCCTTAAGTCTTATATAAAGCAAAAATATAAAAATCATTTTATAATACATAAATTGATATTAACAATAAATAATTTAAGCATAAAATTCTTATTGAAATTTCAATTTTGAAAATCAAAAAGTTGAATTAGTACAATAAATAAAATAAAAAGAATAACTAAAATTAATATGAATTAAAATGTATCAATATTATATGCAAAATAAATTTATTAAATTATTAAATAAAAAACGAATTAAGGTAAATCGGAATTTATTTACAAAGTATATACTGTAGTTTTTTAGAAAATAATGTTAATAAATTGAATAGGGATGTGAATACATTAAGATCTTATCAAAACTTATAATAAGTATTTCTTAAAACTGTTCAACAAACAATAGGAGTAAACCTTACAAAAAGGACATTGATCGGTTAATAACAATTACATTATAAACATTATGTATTACACTATAACAAATTCAATTATTTACATTATTATTTTCATGTGTGACTGAAAATCATTTTTTAAATTACATAAGTACTAAAGTGATTATTTTTTTTTGTTAGAAAATATAAAAATATACTAAAAACTTTTATACTGTATACTTTTGAAAATTTTTCTTATAAAAATAATTTCATTATTCATTTTTCTTCAATATTATTAATTTAAAATGTATTGTATATTTGTTTTATTTTTTCGCTTTTTAAGCCCATATTAAGGGTTATAACGGTCTCCCCGCTATGGCTAAAAGTTGTTATTGACCAGTCATTTTCTTTATTAAATAAGCTACTGAAACATGTATGTTACTTTTTAAAAANTTATATATTAAATAAGCTACTGAAACATGTATGATACTTTTTAAAAAAAATTAAGTTGAAACCTCTTTAAGTGATATGGGATGATTCTATAAACTAATTATTAGCTGGTAAATCAAGAGTTATTAATAACTAAAAAAATCAAAAATTATTTTTTCAACATTGTATTTATTTTGTGAGTAATCCAGGGATTTATGATAAAACGAGCACTCTGTATATCCAACTAACAAAATCCAAAAAGTTGAATTAATTTACAAATTAATTCGCTAGCCAATAAAACACGCCGGCTAGCATTAAAACAATCACGTTATTAGTATTTAATACTAATGTATTATATGCAATACTTATAACAAAAAAAAAATAAGTTTTATGCAAATTATTTAATATTACCCTCAGGTGAACACTTAGTTTTACGGGTTTGGTTAACCCAGGTCCCTAGCTACCCACCGCTCTGCACAATTTGTTTTGCAATAGTTATTGCCATAATCTTAGCTGATTGGGCAGACAGATCTGGTGCTCTAGGTTTGGCGACCGACTAATGATTCATCCTAATAAAAGAAACTATTGTTAAGAAACTACAATCAAAGAAAGATGATTGTATACCAGGAAAATCTTTTGGAAATGGAAAACGGAAAAGTAAGGAGATTTAGATCGCGAAATTGTATCGCACTGGAGCTTGCCAGAACCTAGTTTATGTACTAATAAAGCACAATGTAACAGTTGCAGCATTACAATAGGCGAGGTGGATTAGTATAGAACAAATAAAAATCAACGATTGTAATGTACTATAAAGGAATGTACGACACACACCATTTTGGTACGGGTATTGCTTTATGTAGGCACTATGAGTCTTGTGTCAAAGAATTTAACCCAGTGTTTGAATTCAAATTTACGATAAGGTTGAACTCAAAACCATTTAGTTTCTTAAAACTATCGAATAACTATTCGAATTGTTTTTATACAACCGAATAATTTATTTTTAGCATAAACTATCGAATAGTTTTAAAAACTATTCGAATGGGCTACCGAATGGTTCAATATAAAGAATATGCTCAGTTATGCTCAAAAACAACAGAATATTGTTAGAATCGCAAATAAAAGCATTTAGATAGCAAAAATATTTTGAAAAATTGCTGAATAGAAAGATACCAGTAACACCTGTACTAACCTGGGAAGATCAAAAAAGGAAACAACAAATAAATGACATTAGACGAAACTAAAAGAACTATAAACTAACTTAAGAACTGGAAAGTTCCCGAGTCAGACGAGATATTAGTTTATCTTATAAAATATGGCAGCATAGAATTACATAAAATGATTTATAAATTGTGTAAGCGCATATGGAGAAATAAAAAATCACTTTAAAAAAGGAAATGAGTCGCAATAACTATAGAGGAATATTCAATCGACTGGAATCATTGACTGAAAAGTGTATAGAAAGCTACCAATGTAGTTTTCGTAAATTTAAGTCTACAATAGTATAGGTCGCAAATATTGAATAGCTAATATGGAAAGGAAGTACGAGTACAAACATAACATCTAACAATTATTTGTAGATTTAAAAAAAGCTTACGGTAGTATCCATCGGAATAGTCTTTATAATATTATGTATGAGTTTGGCTTCCTTAAAAAACTCATATCACTGACAAAAATGTGTATAAATCAGATACCAAATTGGAGAAGACAATACAGTTTCGGAAGAATTTGAACTAATGACTGGGCTCAAATAAGGTAATGCACTATTACCAATGTTATTTACAAAAGCATTAGAAAAAGTGTTTTGCAGTGTACAAAACAATAAATTAGGAATTAATATTGGCAAAATTACGTTTGATGTATTGGTATTTGCAGATGCTCTGAATTTAGTGGGAAAAAATAAAGAAATAATAGTGTGAAATACAAAAATATTCATACATGAAGCAAAAATGTTTGGCTTAGAAATAAATGAAGAGGAAATGAAAGTAATGGAAATGATAACGGTAAGAGGTATGGAATACCTTACAGTAGATAACTATTGTTATCGAGAAAACTCAGAGTTTCAAGTATTTAAGAGTAATAATCACTAGTAAAAACAACTGGAATGCTGAAATAATCAGTTTTTTACTCAATGTAGAAAGGGCTTTTTTTCCCTAATAAAATATTTGAAATCAAAACTATTCTTTAGAGGATAAAAGTCTGCCTATCTGTGAGTATTGTGAGATTAACATTAACTTGTGGATGTGGAGTTTGGAAAACTGAAAGTTTTGAGAATAAAGTATTAAGAACAATATGTAGACCCGTATTCGATACCACCACAAAAAATTTTGACGTAAAAGAAAAAACGCGGAAATAAGCGGAGTCACGAAAATACCTTACATAACAAGTTACGCTAAGATTCAGTGGTTTGGACACATAATAAGCAAAGAAAAGATAAATGAAATATGGGCATAAATTGAATGCAGATTAACAAGAAGAAGACCCAGAGGCAAATCCAAAAAATAATGAATAGATGGAGTGCGAAAAAATCTGGAAAGATTAAAAGTAACGAATTGGAAGGAAATAATACAGTATTGTGATTATTGGAAGTCGGTGATAGACGTAGCTAAAAGTCTTAAAAAGTTGCGTGGTTATATAATTATTATGATAATGATTTAATAAAAACAATATTCTATTTAACAGTTTAATATTTTATGAAGTCGTAATAATAAGTTTTTCATTGAAACATATTTATGAAAAAATTGTACAAAAAGAAAAAATTAAATTAAAATATAATAAATTTCTAATTTTATTTCGAATTTTCTTCTTTTAGGGTCTTAGTTGAATCAGCTGGTGTTTGGCACATCTCAGTTAAATTTGGCATGCTTTGTCTAGTTAATAGTGGTTTAATTGATACTGGTGGATTAGCATACCAAATCGACGCCGATTTTTTAATATTTTTTACAGTACAGTTAAGTTCTTGTGAATGCAGATTCTTCAAAAGTTTTTTCCGAATTCCTCTATCAGTTTCGAAAGAATTTTTTGAATGAGGCCATGTAATTAACTCATTTCCAGTACAGTTACCAGTTTCTTCCTTTGCTCGTCGAAATTCATCAATAAGAACGCGTAATGTGCTTGGTCGCTCAGGAAGTTTAAATGGGTAAGTGCCTGTATCTGAAGTCGTTGGCTGTTTTATTCTCATGTTCCAAACTTCATTCATTGCCCATTGGAGATTTTGTTTGTTAAGGTATGATTCTGGCCTAGCTGAAATTCCTATCTGTGAACTATATTAAGAACAAAATTACCAAAAATAAAACTTTGAATAGTTTGCATCCTATCCACATGGATCTTAAACATTAATCAAGGTTGGGAATAGGTAATTAAAAATAAAGAAAAATTTAGTTTTAAGTTTTTAGTAAAAAAATATTAAATAAATAGTATAACCTGCTGTACACCTAGAGATGATAATAAGGAGCTGACGGCGACACACAACACTGTTTTTCGGTGGTAGCTAATTTTAGTTAAATAAAAGACAAGAGTAATGGTCACCATGATGGTAAAAAGTTAACTGCCGTTTAGGATTTAAGTATTATGGTACAATGGCCGTGAATTTCCAAAGTGTTTATGTGTGCAGTTTGCCCTTACGTAGTAATACGTGTATCACTGTGTCAACTATATAAGCCTAGTCGGCGTTACAATAATAATGTGAAATATGATCATGTATATGTGATTGTAACAATATAAATTGGATTTAACTAAAAATTCGTAATTTTTAAAATAGATGTTTTTATTATTATTATTGCTTAACAGTTACTAGAAAGAAGTAAACTTAAAAAAAAGGATAATAAAATATTTGAAAAAAAAAATTTTAATAAATATTAATTGTAAAATTTTATTTATATCTATATATAGATAAAAATAATTCTTCTCTTGTAAAAGTTAAATGTGGATATTCCCATAACTGTTTTATTTTTATTTTTGAGAGTTAGTCAATTATAAAAAATATTTATATACACAATAAACAAACTAACACTTAAAAATAGATACAAACAGATACTTTATATACAAGTAAAAAATTTAAGTATTAAGAATTGTTTTTATGTATAAGGGTAATACCGAGCTTACTTTTGGTAAACGCCTCTTATGGCAGTCCTCCATTTTCCAGATGTGGATCGAGATGCTACTATTTTTACTATTTTTCTAAATCGATCAATTGGTCTTTCGGGTATATTCTGATATTTGTAGTCTTCATTTTTCTTACTATTGTCGTCTACATTGAACAAAACTGGGGCGACATAAAAATCAGACATCAGTCGTCTCTCCCAAATTTTTGATTTCTTATCTGCTGTGAAGTATGAAACAAATGTATTTATTCACATAAAAGATATCATTAATTAATAAATCAATAAAGTTTATATTTTTGGATAATGGTCAGTTAAAAAGGTACAAGTTATAAATGTTAACTACGAGAGCAAAAAACATTAATATTTTACATTAATCAATATTATATTAAATTTTTTATCGTGAATTCGAGTTTGAACAGCTGATGTTAAAATAAAAATGTTTCGTTCTTCGTTTGATGCAATTATTAAGTCTCTTTAAAAATAATAAAAGAAAATTGTCAACATGAACTTGTGCTTTTTTAACCCTCTCCTTATTCTATTATAATGTAATTATTGGGAACTCATATATTTAAGAGTATTCATATATGTAATGATAAATAAAATTGGGATAAAATGTATTTTTTAATAGAACTAATGAAAAATAAAGTGTAATATATTTAATGTTTTTTAACATAATTTAAAAATTTACTAGATTTTTTTAGATGGTCATTGAATACTTCCATGCCATTTTTTCGAAAAACTTCAAGAAAGTCGTACTTCATAGAATTTATATCAGATTTAATCTCATTAACATCATCTTCAGTTACACCCTCATTTTCTGATAGACGATGCTTCATAGAAACATAACGCCAAATAAGAGCACGCATAACGGTTGAAAATTCTCCGTAGTCTCTTTGTTTTTTGTTGTTTTTCTCACAATTCTTATTCTATAATTAAAAATATAAGTTTGAGTTTTACCAAAAAATATCATTACAAATATTAACTTAAATCAAAATTAACATTAAAAATTATGTTTACAAATAAACATTAAAATTAATCTAAATGAGTAATATATATTTTAGAATTCTATTTGGCATCAAGATATTTAAGTTTAAATAATATCGACAAACTTTAAATAAAAATGTTATTCTTAAATTTTAAACCAGTTGAATATTAAATAAGATTGTAAGTCATATTTATTATTTATGTCATAATCAATACTTTTTATAACATATAATACAGTTAATAATTTTTAAGTCAGTTTCATATTTGTCACTTGAGTATCTTAATGTCATTGTATATAGTATATAAATAGAATTTTTTTTTTTTTTTTAACACTTTATAAGTCTATTAAGACCGTATAAGTCCGTAGCGGCCTCCCCAAAGAAGGAGGTTTCTTAACCATTGATACTCCGGGACGGGTGGTTAGTCCGTCGCCAGAGAGAGGGGTGGCGGCTCCATTACCGAACTGATTTATGGTTCGACAAATAAGGCCGTCGTGAATGAGTTTCGAACCTGAGGCAGTGCGTTACCGACTCGGCCACACAGTCCCTCTATATGTATAGAAAATACATAGAGATTTTGTTGGCTTTAGTACGATTATTTTATTTATTATTATTCAATATATATCTTTAATTATTCAAAATACCTGTTACCAATATTAATTAAAAATGTTTTTTTTGGATTTAGTTTCAATGTTTTTAAAGATTTCAGGTTTGGAATTAATTCATCATGATACTGTTGTAATCTTTGGCAGTTATAATATCATTTATATGAAATGGAGTAGTATCATTACTTACTAATTTAATTAGTATCATTCACTTACTGATTTATATAATTTAAAATGGGCCGAAAATAAAATACAAAAAGTTATAGGATTTCATAAATTTTTCATTTTATTTAAAAATAGAATATTTTTTACTATTCATATTTTGTGAAATATATACTATAATGAATGTATCTATAGATCACAACTATAATTTTGATATATTATTCAAAAAGGCACCTATTAAAGTCGTAAATATTTAGAACTACAACTTTTCCAGCTCCTATTTGTCTCAAATAATTTATGTATATATTACTGATTTTTTGTTAACTTTTTTTATTAGAATATAAAGTTTATTTAATTGCGATAAAGTTATAAAAAATATATTTCTATTTTTTAATGCTCAATTACAAATTTGTAATGTTTATCAATTGTGACCATTTTAAATGACTCTTACTTATATTACTAGTGTAGAATAAATCATAAGTTATGATTCATAACGTTCATTGGTAGGTAGTAATACTTTATAGATTTTAATATCGATCTATCAACGGTCAGAGAACTTTTTACTTATAATTTTTGATAAGAAGTCAATCAAGGTTGAACAAAAATTAAATATAGATATGTTTCCGCCATTTATTGATTTTTTATGAAAGTTTGAACTTGTAGATTTTATCTGAATTTTATGCTTTTATAACTAGGATAAAATAAGAAATTAACTTGTAAAAAATGTTCTATTCAAAACTTGTCAAAAAATAAAACATTTTTTAATTTTTCAAAAAAGTAATTATTATTTATTCTTATTAATTTATTTCGAATTAAATAATGTAATTTTTGAATATTCTCATCATAAAAATATAATAGGTTTTTAAGGTATACTAAATTAGTTTTATTGATTCTTGCAACACTAACTATTTCAAAATGATAAGATCATGTTCATTTCATTAAAATAAATCTCAGTTAATTATTCCTAATAGAAAATAAAATTTTAAATGACACATCAATTTTAACTATTTTTTTTTCTGAAACACTTTTTATGTTTGTTTTCTAATACATTTTAATAAGCCAAATTATCAGTTGACTTATGCTTCTATTTAATTATTATAATCGTTAAAAAGTATATTCTAAAACTTATATCGTCTAAATTTCTAAGAAATGATAATTTTTTAGTGTTGCAATAATTCCTAAAAATAGATACAGAATTTAATAATAATGTAATCATTTTATAACAGACTTATTGTGTTATAATTATACCTGAGGCCATTTTTTTGGTTTTGAACTAAAATTGGTAAAAACTGAGAGTATATCTTTTATAAACTTCAATGAAGGGTATATATTGTAAGGAGATGGTAATGTAGGTATCTCTTCAAAACAGCTCAGCCACAATTTAGTCCTTGAAAATTTCCACTCAACATCAGATTGACACTATAATATTTTGTTTATACATTTATAATAAATCAAAATAAAGTTATGATGGGCTTAGTTATTAACCTCAATTATGGAGTATGAATTAGACATCATTGCAATCAGTAAATTCAAAAGAATGGTTACATTAATAACCAAGTATGTTGCAAATATAAGCAATGCACAAAACCGCGTGTACGGTTTCATACCAGGTAAGTCAAAATTTTCAATTGAAACGTCACCAAAACCTGTCCAGAAAAGTGTCTGAATTGATTCGAACAAGCTAAAAATTTTTAATAACACTTTAGTAAAAAATATTTACTTTATAATTTTTCAATAGTTAAACAGCATAATAAAATGTCAATATATTCAATAAAACGTATCTACAATATAAAATTTAAATTCTTTAATTTTATTCTCAGAAAAAAATGTTTATTTTCAAATAAAAATATTTGTTAAATATATGTATACGCTAATTTTTAGCAATAAAAATTAAAAATGAACTTATTGCACAATAACGAAATTTAAATTAATTTAAAGACTAATTAGTGACTTTGTTTAATAACACTTGAAAAATTAAAATAGCTCAAAATTATATATTTACAATTAGTTTCCAAAACCTTTTTTTTTATCTAAGTAAATTTGACTGTAAATGTTGTGTGTTTAATTAATACTCTTTTAGTAGTTTTATATAATTAAATTATTTATTATTAATTCAAATTATTATAATAATTTTTATAATTTATAATTATTATAAAATGTAATTATTAAATATTAAAATCAAGAAATATAAGTAATTATAGTTTTATAAAATTTATATCATTATAAATTTATATTATAATATACGTATAATGAAGAATTTTAATGAAAGATGAAGTTGCATAAAAACGCATAAATACTAAGTCCTTGGACTTGAATCTATATATAGACATAGTCAATTTTCTATCATCTATGAAAAACAAAATTTAATTTTTCTAATTAATATCATTGACTATAGGAAAAAACCCTTATATATATTACGAAATAAAGGTACGTACTGACAGTACTGATGTTACTAGAAAAACTAGAACAATTTGAGAGTTAGTATTTAATTGAATATATAATTATTCATATTCGACTTAACAATAATAATAAAATACCAAAGGAAATAATATTTTATTTATATACTTATATTTTAAAATGAATTAACTAATTTTCTAATTTCCGAAATTAAAAAGACATGCACACTTATGATTTAAGATATTTATTTTTATTTTTATTTATTAACATCCAGTGAAATAATTTTTGATAAATATTATATTAAAAAATTTTTAATAAGAAAATTTTCAAATAATTGCAAATAATAACTTTAAATAAATACAATTTTAAGGTAGGGCAAGAAATAAAGAAACTGCCGAATGAATACGTTGATAAAACTACTAAAATATGTGCTATTTTTTAATAAATGATTTTTATTTGCGCTTTTTATCAGCCTATTATATAACTAATGTTTGTATAATCATTGATGTTATAAAATTTTGTTTGTATTATAATAAAATACGTTACACAATTAAATTATTAAAATATTTACACAGTAAATGAGCTTACTATTCCTTTTATTAAATATTCTAAACTAGCGTTTCTCAAATTATGGCACGCATACAACAGATGATACGAGGAAAGCTAAGAATATTTCCCTTTATAAAAAATTTGGCAAATTGGAAATTCCAATCATATTAAAACAAATGTGTTTATTATTTTATAGTTTCTAATAAAAAAACTAGTATGGAGTCTTACATATAAAATTCCATGTGTGTTAATGTATATATAATGTAATGTATACAGAATATTCAGTAAAATAAAATTGGATACATAAGCGTATTTTCGTATTTTGATATAAATTCAACTTGCATTAACAAAATTTGACATCTTATTCAAGATGGATTCTAACAAATATTTATTTTCATTATTGGGGGATAGTTATACCTCAATCTTTTTTCTTACATATACTTTTGTTTAGATAAAATGAAATGCTAAAATGTTTCAAATGGTACTTGGATATAAAATGGTTCAGAACCCATGTTTTAAATAGATAAAAAAACGAATTTAGTTTATATTATTTACATTAATTTCACTTTTATTATGAGAATTTCTTTTGAATGCATTTTGTAAAATAAAAAGCAAATATTCTTTGTGGTTATGCTATAGTGAGATTGATGATGATAAAACATAAAAAAAAAGAAAAACTTATTAAGCACAAAAATTTTAGAATTATGATTAATTACTGAAGCATAATGGTATAAAAGAAATATTTTTATCAGAAAAGAAGAAAAACATTTTTTTTTAGTAATTTCAACTTCATAGAAATCACTTCACTCTATTTTTCAAAAGCAGAAATATTCTACCTACACATCCATATTATTAAAATTTTATATCAATTAAATAGGGTTTTTTAATTCTATTATTACAAAAACTGCAAAATTGTATCTTAAATATATCCCACGTAATATATTTAAAAGTAAGTAATAAAATAACATAAGTCTATCCTTTTTTTATCCCTTAAAGTTACATGTCAAAAAGCTTGAGTTTTTTGAGTAAAACAAACATATTTTACTAGATTAAAAACTATAAAATTATCTTTAACTAAAAAATAAGTGGTCGATGTCAACTTTTGAGAAGTACTCCAGAGAATATTAAAACTATAATAAAATTGGGTAGATGGTTAAAAGCGTGCTTAATGACTTTAAATAATAGATATTTTCAGTGTACCACTTATTATATCTATTAATAAATTATGACATCTCACTGTAAAAAATTATTCATGTTTTTAATATGATAATCTAAAATTTTCTGGAATTTTCATATGCAAAATGAAATAAAATTGAGAATTGTATCAGGGAACAAGGGTTATTATGCACTTGCGAAATTATTTAAATCCAAACTACTGTCCAGGAAATCTAAAGCATATCTATACTCCAGCTTTTGTCGACCGGTTTTGACGTATGGATGTGAAACATGGTCAGTGACTAAGGGAGATGAGGAGAAGATAAAAATTTTTGAAAGAAATGTACTGCGTCGAATCTATGGCCCTGTAATGGAGAGTGGTGAATATAGAAAAAGAAATAACCAAGAATTGTACCAAATGTTTAATAAGCCCATTATTAGTTCGTTTCTAAAAAGTAAAAGGTTAGAATGGGCCGGTCATATTTGGATGTCGGAAGTTATGGCAAAAAACCTGTTTACTGGAAGACCAAACGTTAAAAGACCCAGGGATCGAAATTTTTTTCGGGATTGGCCAGGGACCAAGACAGAGATGGGCGGACAGGGTGAAAACGGATCTCACGGAAATTTTAGAAGAAATAAGAATTAAAGATAGCCAAAACAGAGATAGGTGGAGAAGTGTGGTTGAGGTAGCGAAGGTCCTAAATGGACTTTAAAAGCTGGAGAAGGAAGGAAAATTTTCTAGCATCATACAACGAATTTTCGGGCTCCGGTACTTAACTAGATATTTCCTCGTGAAAGTCACATAAAAGTTTTATCCGTTTAAAATTTTCTTAATTAGATAATTTTTTATTTCAAAACTAGTTAAATATGTATGTTTCCACGTTAAAAACTAATATTGATGGAGTTTTAAGCAGTAAAAAGAGGAAAAAAACCCCGTTTTTTTTTAAATTAGTATATTGTAAAATATTAAGACTTTCGAAAATAAAATTTTATTTTACTGTACATTTTGGTAAATATTACAACCAGAGACTGAAATGAACCTTAAAAAATGGTTTCTTTAAAAGGGACCATTACATTTTTTAGAACCCGAACTGGAACAGAAAATTTTATTTTCAGATACTTACATATCAGAACCTTTAATGATAAAGGTTCGTTGAAATGGTTCTTAGCTGTCAAGCAGTATTTTATTTGTATAATTTTTAACAACGTTTAATATTTTTGATTACAAGAATTATTTCTGTAAGAATTAGTAAAAGCTTTATTATAGTTTTTCAAATCAAAATTTATGAACTAATCAAGAGTTCCAAGAAATGAATGTTGACTATAAAATATTATATTTCTATTTTTAAAATGAAATAATCATATTTAAAACATAATAAACATAATTATCGGCTGTTGTTTACTATAGGGCTCTAAATTATTATTTATGACTGCAATAGACATAAATAGAAGTTATAGTAATATTTACATTTGACAATAGACATTTGAATCCTATATCTGTTGTTTTCTGAGACTTATTAATTGGACTTTAATTTTAATGATTTTAATTAAATTTTAACAATTTGGATGAAACATTTATTTTTGGTAACCGAATTTTTTATTTTCAAGAATTAACTAATCTAACTGGAACCTATAAAAAAATATGATTTCAGTCTCTGATTAAACATATTACTAAAAACCCAACTTGTATATAATTTTTCATTCCAAAAACACAAAAAAATATGTAAATATTGTAAATATAGATTTTTTAAAAACAATCACAAAATTTTGAATGACGTGGTTTTGCTATTAAAATGATAATATATTTATTCTTATATCAGCTAACAAAACTATTATGGATTTGAAAATTGGACAAATAATTTCTTTTATAAGACTATATGACATATTTTTTTTCAAATTTTGACGTGTCGATATTTTTTGTTTACATACTTTCCAAAACTTCTCCATTTCGAACAAGATTCTCCAGCAGATTCCCAATTAGCCGATCCGTCAGGCAAAGAAAAACATTTATTTCTTTCGAGATTTGCAAAATATCCCACTAATTGATTTAATCCACAGGCAAATGAAAACAAAACTAGGCTGTAAATACTAAAAAACTTCAAAATATCTAACAACATTCTTTTTAGAGACAGTTGTAACGGCCCTAAATGAGAGCTTATCGAGCACATGTGAATCAGTTTCAAGGCGCTACAAATGTTAAAAAAAGATTTTTTGAAGATGTATATTTATTTTACATTTAAGTTATACCTAAGTATATTAGCAGCTGCAAATAACGCATCAGCTACAAGTTGAGGATCAAAAGTATCCCATTTTTCTCGAGGTATATAGGCTGATCGAGGATCATGAGATATCTGTATACTTTCAATTATATATGAATAAATTCGTAGAATTATCACAACTACATAAATCTTATTCCGGGCAAACTCAACATAATTCCAAGCGTTATGCACAAAATAATTTTTTAGACCTAATTTTTTCACATCTAAAATTTCTTGCCAAATATAACCTATAAAAAAAAAGGAAATATTTGTTTTAAATTAAATTAATAAATTAATAATTAATCATACGATGAACTATTGGCATACCTAATATAAAATTTAAGATTAAAAGTTCTATAAATGTTGGAGTATTGCCACGCTGTCGTAATTTACTTTCTTTCAATTCTTCCACCATAGATTCTGTACCAAAGAACTCTATAATTTGAGTTTCTGCTCTTTGAGATGCCAATACTAATAATCCTAAAATAATTATTATAGAATTTTTTTAATTAAAAATTAATTCAATCTGATATTTCATTATCAATGTTTGTTAAATCGGATTTTTATATTTGTATTAATAAATAGACTGTATATTTAAACGGGATATAAAAAGCGTATAATTAAATAATAAATAAAAACGACAATTAGAGGCGGTTGTTCTGAGGTCTACTTTAAATTGTACAAGGTATTTGAAGACTTATCATAAATGACTTCACTGTATGTTACATTTTTTTTCCAAAAAAAGATTTTTATAAATTTATAAATCTTACTATTGACAAGACATTGGTGTACATATTTAATATATAAGAGTATCTAAATAAAAAATTTAAAAAAATAGATTTGGAAATAACGTACAGATAAAGAAAGATTTCAAAGAAATTAATTTTGTTTTTAAGTTCTCTTAAAATTTTTTGATTCATACAGTTATATTTTTATTAAGTTTTCAATCAGTAAAAAATATTTTATTTTCACTTAATATATCAATATTTGAGAAAAATAATAATTGTTGAATCCTCCAAGAATTATTGTTCCTAAGACTTAACGTAATTTAATACGGCCTTGATGACTATATTAACGAACGAAGATATTCATTGATTATACTTTCATTATTGGTTTTCTGAATATTTAACTTTTTTATAATTATGAAAAACAATAGAACTTGTTTGATTTAATTAAAAAAGATCATTAACTGTTTTCTAATTAGCTAAAATGGTTTTATAAAGGTCACAATTATTACATTTTAAGCAAAAAATAATTTTATCATAAACATCCATTGTTTATTTATTAACTTAACTTAGTAATGTCCGCAATTCACTTAATACGATAAATGATCAAATTATTATTAATTATTGATAGAAAAATATTCTATTGTTTCATTGAATTATAAGATATCAATAGTCGTACCTAGGTATGATAAATATGAAGAGGAATGGATCAAAAACTTCATGAAAGGTTTTTCCATCACTTTACCGATATTTGCAGTAGGGGCATACAAATAAACTAGACAGTAGAATGGAAAAAAATAAATAATTTTAATAACTTCCATGATTTGTTTGTGTAATCTTAAGTGACGAAATCCCGGTAATCCTTCGTACCAAACTTTTGCCAAAAGTTGTTGTATATATGGATGGGCAACAAACTTAAAAAATATGTTCATAATAATTATCAATACACAGACTTTTAAATAATTATGGCCAAAATTGTGATTTATTTATAATTAGTAATATTTAATATTTTTAAATAGTCATGTATTATATCACGAACCTTCTATTGTTGATTGACCTTTGAAGGGTATCTTTTAAATATGTTATCATGTAACGTTAAATTGTTCTAATTAATTTGATTAATGTTAAAATTTTGTTAATCAACTAGTAGTTAAAAATATACATTTAGTTAAAATATAATTAAATTCAAAGATATTATTTGTAAGATACGGATAACATAATATGTTATATATTATATATATATATATATATATATAATATATATTATATAAAAAGCTCATCATTCATAAAGAAATTAATATGGGTCTGTTAATATACTTAAGGGTTTAATATAAATTTTATAAGTGTAATGCTAAAGTCATTCGTTATTCTACAATATTTAATAATAAGTAATTAAATATTTTTAAATTCGATTCGCAAAAATAAATATTTTACTCACATTCTTTTGCTTATATTTAATGGCCTGATCTAATAATTTGAATTTTGAGGACTTAGAATTAGAAGGATTTTCTGAGTCATGATTTAATATAATATCCAATTCATATGTACTTCTCGTTTGTTGCAATAAGTCAACAGCAAACTGTTCACACTGTTGACGTAATTCCTATGAAATTATTTGTATTATTATGTTTTTAAAGTTAAATATAATTGAACTATACAAAAAAAAATACATTTTAGAAAATTTATTGTAGAAATAATTTAACTATTACATAAAGAGGGAGTAAATAATTTTTACTGAAAATATCAATGCTAAAAAATTGTACTAAAAACTAAAATGTATTTATTTAACTAGTACAACACAAGTGAACAGCCGTTTTCTTGTTTACAATTTTTATATGAATATGTACCACTTCGACTCTGTTTCTGAATCTGGTTTCAAATTTTTTCTCTCAAATCAAGTTTTTGAAATAATTACTTATTATTAATTAAGCATTAATTATATAGTATATCATCATAAAAAATATTTGAAATTATTATTATTTTTTAATTTTCCTTAAATAACTTCATAACGTTCAATAAGAGTGCAACATTTTGATCTTTTTCATCAAGTTTAACCGATTTCAAAAAAAAAAAAAAGTTGAACTTTAGAGTAGAACTATTTTTGGTTAAACTTAAAATAATTAAATCTTAACTTACATATATATAATTTTATAAGGTTTTAAAAAATATTAACTTTGTGCATTTTGAGTCAATATAAAATAAACAAATTTAAGTATATTTGAACATGCAATTCTGGAATCCTTTAAAAGTAAACCACAAATCTATGTAATTTACAAAGATATAGAAAACTATAGATATACTAAATCATAAGTTATTAATTGATAATCTTAAAATATATGAATACAGAAAATCATTCGTTTTTGGAAGAAGTCTTTCATTTCGAGTCATACTCAAATTGTTATATATCAAAATTATCTCTCGGAAAATACTTTTGTTGCATCGGATGTCCCTCAAAGAAATTACATATCTCTTATATTATTTTGTCTTCTTATAAACGATATGTCTAATGTTATTTCTTACTCATAATTTTTATTATTAGTTGATATTAAAAAATTATTTAAAGATATTAGTTGTTTAGATAACGATTTAAAATTACAGATTAATTTGAAAAGTATTTTTAAATTGTTCCAAAAAAATTATATGAAACTATAGTAAATATATTTATTCAAATTTTGAATAAATGTTGTATAATAACTTTTTCTTTAAAAAGAAATGTTATTTAATTTGATTGATTTCTAGGACATATAAATTTATTAAAATCTTCTCCAGTAAAAGTATGTGGATAGCTAAAATATATTTATTAGATTCTTTTGATATCAATGTTTTGTTTGTAGAACTCGCTTATTATGATTATAAAATTACAACTCGTTTTTTAATATGCAAACACTTAATACAGACTTATGCAAATCAAATTAAAATTTTTTTATAAATTGCTAAGCAATATAATAGACTGTCCTGAATTATTGCAAAATGTCAATTTTAAAGTAAATTCAATAAAATTGTTATATTTTAAATTTATTTTAATATGATAGCACAAATACCAATTATTTGCAAAATGCGCCATGCAATATTTTAATGTAAACAGGAAAATCTGTAATAAATCTTAATGATTTTGGGAATCGTTTAATATTTTTATGTTAAATTTATTAAAAATATATATAAAATAGATACTGATGTAAAATTTTAAATATGTTAAATGTAAAATGTTAGTTTGCCTTATTATATACATTAGGGTGGCTCTTATTTTATAAATTTTTATTGATCGATCTCTGTACTCACCAATTTATTTCGTTATTATATGAAAGTCATTTGGGTAAAATTTGGTTTTGATATGATGAAGGTTTTATCGTAGGACTTACCAGTCGACATAATTACAGATAAGTCTTCATAACTTTTTAGACGATTTAACACAAAAATAGGGCCACAATTGTCATTAACTAAAATGTATGATAATTATTATCTATTTTTTGAAGACCGTACAAAACTATTGGAGGACATACCCTAATTATAATCGTAATACGCTGAATAAACAGTTTTAATCGATCGTATTTAGATCGTTAGTGTTATTAAAACAACAATAGCATACATCTGACTTTAATTTCACATAAAACTAATATTTCAGAAAATTTTATTTGACATATATTTTATTCGAAACATTTTGTAGTAAAGTGATTATTTTGAAAGTTAAGAATGATTTAGTAAAAAAACCCAGCCCAGTGAGGTCGCGGCACAGTGAGGACGTGGCATAGTTGGGTCCAGTATAGATGATATCTGACAGTGATTAAAATCACTATCATAAAAAACGCTTCGATGCANATGATAAAATCACTATCATAAAAAACGCTTCGATGCAAATCTGTAGATAGTGTTTAATTAAAAAAAAAAAATTGTCAAAAAAGTAGGTCAAATGAGAGCTGAGAAAATAAATGATAGCTACAAAAAAAAAACCACAGTGTAAAATAATATTAATATGAATTTCTTCTCACGAGAGGAGACTACAATAATGGAATCCTTGATATTTATTGAAATTATTGAATCTAAGTGAGATAAAAATCAAATGAGTTAAACATTTTTTTTTAACTCAAAAAGAATTAAAAAAAAATTCAGTGCCACAATCGTCAAAGACCCAAGTGTTACGGTACGTCTCATTCGTCACTTAATAAAAATGGAAATTTAGCTAGTTCAAATTTTAAAGTTATTTTTCTCAACTTCAAAGAAACAAAAATGATATCAAACGAAAGGAAATTACCTAAGGTTTCAATATATAAAAATATTATTTTGATTTGTTAATATTTGAAAAAGTTATGGCAGTTTTAAGTACAAAAAACATTCCGATAGAAGGTGATTTTTATCGCAAATATTACATTTTTTTTTTAATTTCGACAGCAATTTGCGCATAGTAGATAAGGTGTCGGGAAAAATTTTTTTTTTTTATTTTATAGTACATAAAATAAGCTTTAATTTTATATATGTTTAAAGGACGCAGTATTTCCAGAACACTTTCAAAAGTTAAGTTGAAAAAGTTCTATTTTTTATACAATGTTTCAAGTTTTGAACGCTTCCTATATATAGGGAGTTTGTCCAATTTTAATAAAAAGTATGTCAAATGAAAGATGTACTTATAATGTATTTAGAAAAAAAATTTGTGCTAATAATTACATTTTTCGAAAAATTATAGCATTTTTAAGTTGAAAATTTAAAATCGAAAATCGAAAATTTTAACACAAAAATAGCGTTTTNTCGAAAAGTTATAGCATTTTTAAGTTGAAAATTTAAAATCGATAATCGAAAATTTTAACACAAAAATAGCGTTTTTTTAACTACAGCAGCCGTTTACATGCAGAAGATAAAGTGTCGGGACAAATTTTTTTTTTTCATTTTGTAGTACATAAAAAAAAATTTAATTTGATATATGTTTAAAGGACGCAGTATTTCCGGAACATTTTCAAAAATTATGTTGAAAAAGTTAGTTTTTGTAATAAAGTTGCTATTTTAAATCCTCCCCAATGAGCAGGTTAAGTGTTAAATTTTCAAAAAAATGATATCAAATGAAAGAAAAATATCTAAGGTTTTAGTAGAAAAAAAATTATGTTGATTCGTTTATTTTTGAAAAAGTTATGGAAGTTTAAAAAAAAAAAAGTGAAAAAAATGACAAAATTTACCGATTTTAAAATTTGTAATTTTTTTGGATATTTCCCCCATTTGCGGGGAACGAGGGAAAATTTTTCAATTTTTAAGGATAATGTCTTCAACTAGATACTATTTGTGATCTTTTGACGTATTGTTGAAAGAAATCGGTCCAGTGAGAGCTGAGAAAAAGTGGCAACAGACATAAAAAAAAAAAAAAAACACATCATGGTAAAATTAATACCTTCTCAGCTTCGCATCGAAGCTAAAAAGTGAATTTTAGAAAATTTTTTTTTATTTTATCTTTTTAAGCAAATAAAAATAATTTTAGAAAATGTTTGTTATTACTTTTTTTTAAAAAAATATTAAAATCTATAATTAATATTCTATTTATTTTTACACTAGGTGTGTTAGTTTTAGAAATAATGATCAAAAACTGAAAAATTACCCTTTTGAGCGAATTTTCAACTACGATTCGGCACTTGAAGAAAGTAAGTTATCAAAATCAAAATTTTACCCAAATGACTTTCATATAATAATGAAAAAAATTGACGGGTACAAATATCAATCTATGAAAATTTATAAAATAAGAGTCACCCTAATATACATATATAATTAAATTTTTGTTAAAAATATATTTATTTTTTATAGAATTATATTGTATAAGGTTTTTGTAATAATTATCACTAATACTTTATTTATATATTACTTTTATTATTTATTATTACTATTGATGTTATATAAAATAAACTGTACTTCGAATTTATTTTCGTATTAAAGAAATATTATTATTATTGTTATTAAAAACCTACCCAATTGTGCTAAAACAAAGCTAAGTCACTAAAATTCGTTTTTGATATTAGTTCCTGTATATTGAATGATTTTAGTTAATAACCCATCGATGTTTTAAGTCTTTATTTTTAAAAGTATTCAACTTGTACAGTTGATGACAGTCAGAACACCCATTGATGTTGATTAAATAAAAACACCTAGTAATTAAAAAAAAAAATCTTACTGTATAATCTTTAGTAAACTCTACTTCCATTTTAGCTAACCGTCTCAATTCCCATGACAATTGAAATGCTGTGAGGATAGGATCGACCGATGATAGTGAAATTAACGATGGACTTGCTAGTGCTCTATATTCATTTACTCGGCACATCGAATACCTAAGTGAGTCGTTATTTACAGACGTGATACATTTATCACATCCACACCTGAAGTAAAAATCTTTAATTAAATGTAATTTAATTTAAATATTTAAATACCAAAATGATAATTTATTAAAATTATTATTTATATGCCTAGTACAAATAAATAGCATAAATTTAATGATTATTTATTTGGTTTAAAAATTTACAATAATTAACAGGCAGACTAAGTTAAGAAAAAGCAAGTAGGCAGCTCTTTTGGACTAATCTCAAATAATAGTGACATTTTTTTTAAATTTCATTTTCAATTTAGAAAGAGAGATATCCATAAAATGTTTATATTTTTAACTTTATATCTAAGAAAGAAAATCTATAGATTATTGAAGAAGATCAAACTTAATTCTGTTGAATTAAAATCAAGAAAATTTGAATACGGACTTATCCGTACCGGAGTATCAATGATTTAGATATCTTCTCCTTTGGGGGAGGCCGCTATGGGCCTCAATAGGCTTAAAAAGCGATAAAGAAAAAAATGAATAGTATAATGTATAATATATATTAAGAAATTTGTCTCGATGTTACCATAGGGTGGCGAATTATAATAAATAAGCATCTATTTGTTTGAGGCATAATAAAACAACATAAAATTATTCTTATAAAGTTATAGATATATAAGTTATAGTAATCAAATTAAATTTAGTTATAAAAGTTTTAAATAATTGATATGATTTTTATTTTTTTTAACTTAATATTTATAATTAATATACTTGATCATATGAGGCATTGGCAGAGTTGCCCCTCGATCCAGAAGCATTTTAATTATTTCATAATTGTTCTTATGTGCGGCTAAAATGAGAGGTGTAATATCTGGAGTAAAATACGCGATATCCCAATCGACTTTTTCCCAACTCTAAATAAAATCAAAACAAACATTAAATTGGTTTCTGTATAAAAAGATCATTAAATAACAATGTGATTGTCATCAAGTTTTCTATGGTTATAGCTAATATATGTTTAGATTATTTTTTCTTATGAAATAGAAAAGAATCTTAAGAAATAAGATTATAACATATAGACATAAAGAATGGGGCTAATCCCTTGTTTGAAGGTTAAGTCCCACTAAAGAAATCAGGTAATCGTTTTATCTGATAGATTATCAATTTTATTGATACATAAAAAATAACTTTTAGAACGGAGAAAAGTTAATTTAACCTTCTGAAAAACTTCGACCACCTAATGCTTATAAAAAAGTATGCCTAGATCTTCTACTTATGGTATTTCTTTTCAATTAAATTACTTTATTATACATTTTAATATACAAGACGAACAAAATCTGTTTACATAGAAAATAACTTCTTATTAAATAATATTGTTACCAATAATAAAATCTGTTTACAATGAGTAATCACACGGAAGCGTTAAGTATATGTATCTGTTCAATGAATTAACTGTAGGCTAAAGTACACCAAATGAAAAAAGATAAAAATTCGGAAACTTTGTACATACCGAACAATTGAGTAACACCTCTTCTAACTAGAATTATTCAACGCGTCTACAAAACAATTTTAAAAATTGTATTATGAGGATATTTTACATTCAAATTGTAAAATAATAAAATCAAGTCTAATGATTTAACTGGATTAAAAAGTTTTTAATTCGTTAAATGTATATATTATTAAATACCTTCCAAGTGTGTTTATTGATTAATAAAATAATTTAATACTCTAATTAATTAGGAATTATTTTGTAAAAATTTGCTTTAAAATATATTTTAAAAAGTTTTTATCGTATACGATTAGTTTAGATCGAACAAAATTTATTAAAATAATAATAATATATATATAAATTATTACTTTATTATATTAAATGTACTTTTAAAAATACCAATAAAAATGTTTAAACTATATTACTTACGTATAAGTCACCTTCAACATGCACTAGCTCTTCATATTGAAGTAATAATTCAACTGCTTCCACAAATTCGGCATTTATTGCATGCAATAAAGTATCTTTAGGGCTAACACCCATCACCACAAGCATCTCAAGCATTTCTAAATTTTCAGAATCTATTGCTAAATTTATTGCACCTCGACCAAATGAATCCATACAATTGATATCCAAATGGCCCGAATTAAAAGCACGTTCAATCATTCTAAAAATGATAATATAATTTAAACAAGATCAACATAATTGAAATATTATAATAAATACATATTTATCCACATATGCATGTATAATACATGCATGCATATGATCTTTGCGACTGTATAAACAAAGTCTTTTTTTTTAATAAACCTGTTTTCATAAAAACTTCATAAATTAAAAAAAATTGCTGACAAAATATTTGTTATTTAGAGAACGTCAGAAATTCCCTATGAATAAATCGTGAAAAACAATTATATTTATATAAATTATTAAATTGTCAGTTTAAATTTTTCAGTGAATATTACAACTTTGTATTTGAAAAATAAATTATGTATGTATGTCGAATTATTATTGTAATGATTATTATTTGCAAGTTATTTTAAGAGGGCTAATGTACATTTAAAATATATATTGTCCTCCAATATTTTTATAATTTGTCGATAAGATATCTTTAAAACATGCATTAATAATTTTACACTACTTATCTTAACGAAACCTATTCTGTAATTTATAGTCTATAATTTATTCATTTTAAACTGTGTCGTCTTACCTCTTAACATTGGCAGTATCACCTCTTTGCACTGCCAAAAGATACTTCTTTTCTTCTAGCGAAAGTGATTTCATATTAATGCTTTCTTAAATTTTTCTGACAATAATAAACAGTTTAATTTAAGCACTAATATTAGTTTTAAACTCTTATTGTTAATAGTAAACTTGGTGATAAACTCAGAGTTATTTATAAAATCATATTCGATGTATCATAAAAATGTGTTTAACCAGAATTATAACTTATGTTCCAACATTTTTCGTAGACTTAATACTGTCTTGTTGTTCTTCAATCTGATTCAAAAGAACAAGTTATGTACTCTGGTAATCCTTGATGACTGTTTTGCTTGAAATTGAAATAAGCCGGTTAAACTGCTAATTTGATGATGGTGACCCATTTAGGTGTTTTATTTCTCATTATACTTTGCAAAAGTTACGTTTAAAAGTATAAGTTAGACTTATGAAAATATTTTGGTAAATGACGATAATAAATTTACGATGATACATTAACAAACATTCAATAAATTGTTATTACTTATTGCATGCTTATGAACCAAATAACAACTTTTAATTTTTTTATTACAACGCATGTTATATTAATTTTTTTACACCACGTCGGTATTACACGCATTATATGACATGTGAAAATTATTCAATCCAAACAACACAATTCTACATATTTAATTAATTCAAAAATATAACACAAAATATTTGTTTACTCTGATCTTGTATGCATATTTAATTAATTTAAACAATATATTAACTATTTAAATCAACCATTAATAACGAATTTACATGTAAAAAAAAAATTCCTGGTCATTAGGGTCGTTGCAAAACAAAGGTATAATGAAATAAGTAGGCTATTTAAATTAGACTAGACAATCATCATTTTAAGACTACTTGTACTTAAAGTATTTTAATTAGCTAGTATAATTTAAACGTATCAAACAATCAACATTGTGGTAATCATTCTAGCCAATAGAAGAAGAATAAGACAATATATAATACATAAAAAAATGACGAAGGTAGTATCAAATTCATCATTGTTATGGTTTTTAATAGTGACTATTGGCATTTGAAAAAATTCGCTGGATGTTATGTCGTGTCAAAAATTAAAAAAATAATTATACTTTAAAGTCACGAATAAATGTCAGTATGTCATTGGACACAACACCCTCTGTTTTCCAAGCAGAGGTGATGGTGATACTGGTAGGGGCTCAGAACCTGGTATACAAAAATAGGAAGATAACTATCTTAAGTGATAGTCAAGTGGCTTTGAAGGCATTCTGTAACGATCAGGTGAATTCAAAGCTGGTCCTCGAATGCAGGGAAACTTTAGAATCACTATCAACAAAGTTACACTAACGTGGTTACCAGGACACAACGGTGTCACTGGAAATGAGAATGCTTACTTTCTAGCCAGGAAAGGAGCAGAGAACACCTATTTTGGACCAGAACCAGTGGTAGGACTCACTGAGCAATCGCTCAAAGCGCTACCCAAGAATTGGTGCAGAGAACAACACAGGAAAATCTGGAAGTACTTGGTAGTACCTAGACAATCTAAAATGTTTATCAAGACCCCTGGTCTATTGCTGGGTGATGTTAATAGTATGACTAGACATCAAATAAGCACTCTGACTGGTCTACTGACAGGACATGGTCACCTGCTTAAACATCTTAACGCAATGGGGGTATCGGAATTATCATTGTTCAGGAAGTGTGGAGTAGAAGAAGAAGACTCATTTCACATTATGTGCGAATGTGAAGCCTTGTCCACACTAAGATCAAACTACTTGAGTAAACCTTTTCCCGAAAAAGAAGATATTAAAAACCTAAAACCCAGAGAGATACTTAATTTCGCCAGAAAGACAGGACTCTTTGGTCATCTATAGAGGTGACTTTATGGTTGGTAATATATTAACATTTCGGTGATAACACTTAGGTGGGTAAACCGAATTAAGACAATTCGGTATGAGGTGCGCACAATGGACCAACAGGTCTGAGTGCATGGGTATTATGTCCACCTCGATAATAACTAAAACTATTGGGTCAAACATGACATTATATTTATAAGTTATTTATATGTTTAATTGTTAAAAAGTATTACTAATAACGTCTAATAGGTAGAATTTGTATCAAGAATTAATAGAAGAGGACCAGATACTGTAGATTTTTCAGATATATTAATCGTCAATAATTGATCAAATCACTTCATCAAACTTATTTGTAAGACTTATGTATACTTATCATCACCTTTCCTAAGTTTATAGTGTTTAATATGAAATGTACTTTTTTCTTTAAAATTGTGTGTATTGAATTATTAATAAAATGATGGTTTTATGTTTATTCAACTGTAAATAATAATAATTAAAAAAAAAAAAAAAAATGATTTTTACAGTTCAAAAAATGAATATAAAATTTTTTTTTTTATGTACTAGGTCATGCTTATACAAGTAAAATATTCAGGCATAAAAAAAATCGTAATCTTGTCATAAATAATGAAAATTATTTTATTGATACCTATCTTCATACAAATATGCTTAGGTATTGGGTTATTTGAAAATAAAGAACAAAAGCTAAACAAACTTTTCACCAGTGTTGGATGGAATTCAATCAAAAAATACAGATTTTCTACTGACTTTAATTCAGTTTCTCATTTTGATACAAAAAGTTTATCATCTGAGAAAATTTTTTTTATAAAATTTACTAAAGCAAAGATAGTTATGAACTGTATCTACATAACACTCATAAATGAATTTTATATCAAGTATAAAAAATCTGCAAATTATTACATGAATTTGGAAGATATAACAGTAAAAATCAAAAGACAAATAAAATTGATGGAAAGTATTACTATATTTAAATCGCTAATATCATGCATGATAAGAACTCTGACATTTTTTGGCAGTAAAAAAAATGATATACTCCAACATCTTAAAAAATTTAAGAATTCTTTTAAAAATTTCAATATGGTCGAGAATGACACATCACAGAAAACTTGCACATTTATAAATGACAAATTTTTAGCTATAATTAAATCTTTGAATGTTGGAACAAGAATTGTTAATTATAAAGTGAGACATTTTATTCGGAATGAAGATGATGAAGATTTTATAAGCATATATATTAAAACATTAACTTACAATTTAGATGAAGATGGTCGACATTTTATTGATCCATACTGCCAAAATATTGAAAATCTAGTCAATCATGGTGTTAAAACTTTTTGTCTTGATTTAATTTACAGTAATATTTTTGTTAACTCTTGTTAAAAGACTTTTATTTATTGAAATATTAGGCTATTTTTTATGAAAAATACTATTTATAATAAAATTATTATATTTTAAAAATTTATCTTTATATTTAGTTATATTATTTGAAATTTTTAAATTGTAATTATACTTTTAAAGTTATAGCTTAAAAATTTATATTAAACAGTAAAATTAAATTTTTTATTGACATAATTCATTTGTTTGTCATTTAAAATATTTTGATATTTTATACATTTAAATTATAATTTTTAAAAATAAATATTTTTCAAAGAGTATGTAATAAAATAATGTCAGTCAGCTTAAAGTTTATTTTTAAAATATCATAGTTGGCCAAAATGAATGTTAAAGTCATATTTAATAAAAAAAAGGCCACTGAGTGAATATTGATGTATCAAAGTAAAAAATTCGATATTTTAAATCAATTCATACATATATACATATAATCATTCCATTTGAATCATAAAACTAATTCAAAAAGTAAACAATTACAAAGAATTTATTATAAGGGAAGCGATGATGATGTGAATTAAGGTGGAAATAGTATTTTGAAAAAATACTTAATAAGGAGTATCCAAGAGAGACATTTGAGGATATCTTTTAGACTAGTTGATTTAATTAGTGAAAAAGAAGTATGGGAGGCCGTGGCATCAATGCAAAAGAATAAAGCAGTAGGACTCAGATGAACTGGCAGTAGAAGGATGGAAAATATTAGGCAGTGTTGGCATAAGTTGGTTGAAGGATTTTTTTAATAAGATCCTATTAGAAGGAAAAATGCCAAAAGAAAGAAGGAATAGTATTGTGATGCCGATATTTATATTTAAAGGAGACATACAGGAGTGTAAAAATTATAGAGGCATTAATTTTATGAGTTATAGTATGAAGATTTGGGGAAAAAAAAAAAATAAACAAAAGAATAAGAGGAGAGACATCAGAAACAAATAATCAGTTAGGTTTTTTGCCTGGATAGTCAACGTTGGAGTCAGTTTTTTGTGTAAGATAACTAATAAAGAAGTATAGAGAAAAGAAGAAAAAACTGTGTATAGTATTTATAGATTTAGAGAAAGCGTATGATAGAGTACAGAGAGAGGTTGTAAAGTGGGTATTAATGGGAAAAAGTCTCAAAAAGGTACATTAATTAATAGAGGATATATATAATGGCACTTATACCAAGGTAAAAAGAGTGGGAGAGTAATATTATTTTATGGTAAGAGTAGCAGTGCACAAAAAGTTCTATTTTACACCCTTATTTATTTATTATAGTATTGATGAAATCGCTAAATAAATACTAGTAAAGGTATCGTGGTGCATGTTGTTTGCTAACGATATAGTGTTAATAGGAGAAAAAAGGATGAAGTTAACTAAAGGCAAGAGGTGTGGAGGTCAGTTCTTAAAGGAAAGGAAAGTAAGAGTACGACAGATTATAGAGGGTACGAGTTTAACAAAGGAGAATACGTGATAATTAGGAGATCAGTGACAATAAGGGAAGACGTGTTAAGAAAGGTATAAAGTTTTAAGTATTTAGGATCAATTATGTAAAAGAAAGGTGGTATTGACGAGAATGTAAGACACAGAATCGATTGTGGGTTTGTAAATTGGAGAGAAAATTCTGGTGTGTTATGTGATTAGAAAATTCAAATAAGGTTGAAAGATAAATTTTATAAGACTCTAGTGAGACCAGCTATGATAGTTTAGAGTGTTGGTCGGTGACAAGATAATAGAGTAGAGAATGAATGTAACAGAGATGAGAATGCTTAGTTCGATGAGTTGAGTAACTAGAGGAGATAGGATAAGGAATGAATATGTAACAGGGAGAATAGGTATAGCGTTTATTAAACTAAAGATTAAATATTTTTTTACGGAATAACACACAATGAAGCAGCAGTCTAATTTATTTTATAGAATTATAAAATTGTTATGAATTGCTACATACTATGTTAATCTCGACGACCCTTCAATTAAGGATTTAAAAACTTTTAAGTTATATAACTAATATACTATGACGAATTTATTTCTAATATCTGAATATTGAATGAAAATAAAAATATCAAATAAAAATCAGATCTACTAGATTAAATTTAAGTTCAAAAAATGAATTTGATTCTTCATATCATATAAAAATAACATCACAGTGTTTTGAATTTTTCCTTTCAAATTATGCATAAAAAATTTACTAAATCACTTCACTTTATAGAATTAAAATTTTAAGTAATACTGTTTGTGATTATTTATTAGATTTAGATTTCAGTAACTAGACCAGTTCCCTAATTTAAATTTATTCTTCCTTAAAAAAAAACTATTTTATTTATAAGGACAGCTAAAATTTCTGTTTGCTAACTTAGGTTAGATTAAAAGAGTTATTATTACTATTTAAAGTAACTATTAACTAGTTATCCTGTTATATATTATGTAAAATAACAGGATTAGTTTTGTACTGGTACTGTTGCCAAGTTTTTTATGAGTAATTTGGCAATAGCTGGTCACATTATTCAGCAATTCAATTAGTACTTAATACATATATGGTTATTTTTTGTTATTTAATAATATAATAAAAACACTAAATGATTATCTCAATACTATTACTTGAAAAAAAAACCAAGCACAGGGGGGTCGCGGCACAGTGGTGACGTACATAATTGGATCAAGTATAATAATATCTGACAGTAATTAAAATCATTATAAAAAAAAAAAACGCTTTGATGCAAATCTTTAGATAGTGTTTAATTTTAAAAAATTGGTGGATTATTCCAAAAGCTACATTATCTGCTATTTCCTTATTAATATCCTGATTAAGAAAAAGTATGTCGAATGAAAAAGGGATTATTAAAAAATATTATTTCTCATAAAAAAATTGTGATGATCCATACACTTTTCAATAAGTTATAGCATTATAAAGTTAAAAATGTAAAATATAAAATCGAGAATTTTAACACAAAAATAGCATTCGATAACCATTTTCACCGTGAAGACAAAATAAAGTCCGTAATATTTTTTTCCATAATAAAGTATATTACATAAGCTTCAATTTAATATATATACAAAAGTATCAGTATATCTAGAACACTTTCAAAAATTAAGTTGAAAAGTTAATTTTTTGTGAAAAAGTTTTTTCAATCCCCCCCGTGGACAGTTAAAGGGTTAAATTTATAAAAAAAAAATATACCAAATGATAGGTAAAGACATCAAGCATCTATAAAAAAAAAATTATATTGATTTGTTGATTTTTGAAAAAGTTATAGAAGTTTTAAGAAAAAAAAGTGAAAAAAATGACAAAATTTACGGATTTTTAAATTTGTAATTTTTTTGGAGGTTTCCCCCATTTACTGGGAACGAGTTAAATTTTTTCAATTTTTGAGGGTAATGTCTTCGACTAGATACGATATGTGATCTTTTGACGTATCATTGAAAGAAATCCATTCGGTAAGAGCTGAAAAAAAGTGGTAACAGACACAAAAAAAAAAAACCCATCATAGTAAAAACAATACCTTCTTAGCTCCGTATCGAAGCTAAAATAAAACAAAAATATTTATAAAGTAACAATTAAATGTCCAAAAATATTGTATAATGAAATTTAAACTTAAAATACAGATTTTTTTTTATTAGATTATGACTGGTTAAAATCTCATTAATATTACACTAACCTTTATATATTCTATTTATTTAAAAATAAGTTTATTTTTAATCACGTTCATTATAAAATCTAGAGCATATGTATTATTTTTAACAAAAAATGTGTTTAAAAATTGCAAATAATTTGATTTGTTAGAGAAATTCATTTATCAATATTTGTTACTATTTTTTGACTTAGGAAAGCAGTGTACATTATTACTTTTTTTTCTCAATATAATTTTTATTTGTGTAGTTAGGTGATTTTTAAATATATTATAAAATGGAATATTATAATTCCTAAAATAATAACAATCAGTGATGACTATTATTACTACACACTTACAATATAGGTAAACATTTAAACATCTTATGTTAAATGTAATAATAATATATTTATATAGATTATATAATTGCATAATAATATAAGAATACACGTTAAGCTAAAATACATATTTTTAATAAATAAATTGGAATATCGAAAGAAAATCAATATGATTTTTCAATAAAAATTTATAGTAAATTTAATTATACATATAAAAATAAAACATATATTTTTTTTATCACTACAAAATTATTTTTTAGTGTACTGAATTTTTTCAATTTTCACTTCTTCGCCAACCAATCTATATACATATGATACTACAGTAGAGCTTTGTATATCCATTACCACAAAAGAAGGTATGATATCCCTAAAACAAGACACTTTTAAATCTAACTTTAAAAAAAAATGTATATATATATGTATATACATGGTGGAAAAAATCTAACTGAAAACTCTAATAACTTTTTATACAATTTAAATTTTGCTATACTTTTTTTTAAACAATATTTGTTTCATTATGTTTTTAATAATAAAATAAATTTTTTATTATTAGAAATAAATTAAATGTTTTTAACAGAGTCTAAAAATTCAAAAGTTGTCAAAGAAATATTCAAGAGAGCCATTTTATAGAATATTAATAAGAAATAATTTTTAATGTTTTGAGATTAAGTTTATGGATTTTTTTTGAAATTTGTAATTTAAATTTTTTCATATTTATTTTACAATATTAAATATTGGTCAATATTTATCTGAAAAGGATAGAAGTAACACTTCTTTACACACCAAGTGTGTGCAAAAGAACATGAAAAAAATGTTTGGATTGAAATAATGCTTTCTCTTGACAAATTAGCATACAATTAGATTAGAAGAGTAAAATTATAAAAATAGTAAATTTTTTTTGGACCTAGAACTTCTGACAACTAAACTATGCACTTAGTGTATAAAGAATGTATCACGTCTATTCTTTTCTGATAAACATAGACCCATACTTAAAACCATAAAATAAATAAAAACATTCAAATTTTAACAAATTTCAAAATTATTTTAAAATTTAATCACTAAACATTAAGAAGAGATTTTGCTATTAATTAATTTTTAATATGTCATTATATTTTTAAGCTCTACAAATAAAAATAAAAAAAGTAAAGAAAATTATTTATTGGATTAAAAGTTGCAGGATTGTTCAGAAGAATGTGAGATACTCTATATATATTATCACTTGGAATGAAAAAACTTCTTAAGTACAAAAAATGTAATAAGTATCTCTAAATAACATATTTATACTACATTAATATTTGAATGTAATTTGCAAATTGATTTTTAATACTAAGCGACAATATACCATAACTTTTGTAATAATACATTTAAAAAAAAATTAGACACTTAAAATGTAAAAAATTAATTATTTATAAAATTTAAAAATAAATTCTAGGTTTTTTTAATTTAAATTGTTCCCACAAAAAAAAAAAAATACTCATCTTATATTGATATTACTAATGTTTAATAATTTAGAGATTGGCAACTCACACTATTATAGATATCTTTAGAATATCTAAAAGTAAACTTAGATACTACAAAAACTACAATTCAAAGATGAATATGTAGTTAATGTATTATGTATTAATTTAAATAATTTATACTAGTATTACTGTTTAAGTTAAATACAATATTGGAAAAGATATTGATATTAAGACTTTGAATCAATACATTGTCATTCATATAATTAAGAGATAAACTTAAATTTTTTAATAATTGAATTTCAGTAACGATTCATGAGTATTTATGAAAAAACTAATATTTGTAATAATATCATTCATTATTTAATATTGTCTTACGGATTTAATGGATTGAAAGCTCCTGTAGCAGATCCAGGATTTAAGAAAAATTTATTCCCAAGTTCAAAAGCATCAAATTTATGTGTATGACCAAATACTAAAACGTCAACATCAAGTTGCCTTTGTAATAAAGCTAGTGATTCTGGATCTCCCCATGGTATTATTTGGTGACCATGGCAAAGACCTACTTTAAATTGCCCAACATTTACTACTTTTTGATCAGGATAATTAAGGTTCTGTAAATATAATAATATAGTTAAAATATTGTAATTTGTTAATTATAATATGTTAATTTACCTCATCAAAATCACCACGCACAACATGAACATCGTTGGCTATAGATTTTAAAAATTCATACATTTCTTTAGTACACAGATTACCCGTACATAGAACATGTTGTATTTTTCCGGGTGTAAGCAACTTTTTAAATTGAGTGGGCAAGCCACTGCTACGAAATGGAACATGCATATCTCCAATAACTAATACTGAACACTGTAAAGATAAAATGTAACAACTTGTATTTGACTACTACAATAAGTACTAGGATTTGTATTATAATCAACTGTATTAATTTATATTGTAAGTATATAGTTTTAAAAATATATTTACCATTTCGTTTTGTTCTAGACACAAAAATATTTTATAAATAATTAAAAATAACAGTAATTAATTAGATGAAATTATTTGTTTAAATTATCAATTTAATAGACAAATTACAAGATATTAGTAAGGAAAAATAGCGTTTAAAAAAAACCATACCATAATAAATTATGCATAACAAGAGTATTAACGAATAATAACTGATAAACATACGTCGTTATCGTTCTACAAATATTTTGCCGAAGTTATGGGTTATGATCAATTTATCCTAATTTAAAATAGCCGAAAAACAAATTGATCTATAAAAATGATTAATATGATGATTAACTATCATAAAAAAAAGTTTTTGATCAATTTTTATTTTTTTTATTACCAAAACAAGAAAAAAAATTCTATAGCGTAATTAATTAGAATTTTGGAACAAATCTACTTTACGGGACACTCTATTTTTCAAATTTTTTTTTCATAACGTTTGTTTTTTTATGATTTTTTCAAAAGTGTTTGAAAAAATTGACGGAAACTTTTTGTACAAAAGTTATAACATTTTAAAGTTTATATGTCATGAGACTAAAAATAGCTCCAAAATTGTTTTTTTGTTAATTTTCGGGTTTTTTTTTCCTGGAAATATTGTGAAACTCCAATGACGTAACTCTTAAGTAATTTTCTCTCTCAAAAAAACCAAAAATAATTTGGAAAAAATTAGAATTTTCAATTTTTTCGTTTTTTTTCCCCAAAATTTGCAATACAAAGATATAGGTTTTTCATAGAGCTATTACTTAATTTTCATATACAATACAAAAAAATGGGTATTAGTGATTACGTAATTACATGAAACCCAATTAGTTCAATAAAATAACACGAAAAGAAAAGTTTTTACTCTATATTAGGTATACTAAATAACACTTGTTAGAAATAATAAAAATATTTAATGACAATTGATATTGAAATTTTAGTATTCAACTTAATACTATTTAAAATATTTGCATATTTTTTGTTTGAGCGCGACTTAGCACAACAGTAATACAGATTATCCTTATTACTCCCTGAACTAGTTGTACATAACGAGGCTTAACATACACACTATGTATTGTTATAAAGATAACAGATTGCGACGCTTGCTAGTTTTATGAAACGACCACTCGTTGACAACCTTCTGCTTGAACTTACCATCTTTTTATCGCTGTATCAATGTTTCATTAATATTATGTTTGTAAAAATGCTTCTCAAGTTGGCATAAAATTTAAAACTAGAAAAACGAAATAACTTTAAAGAAAAATTATTGATTTTTATAACCTATATTATTTAACTACAATCGCAACCTCAAAACCCTATAACTTTTGAACCACACGATTCCGCTCAAAAATTTTTACATATTCTTAATCAGCATAAAAAACGAACGTTTTTAAAAAAAAGGGTGTCCCGTAAAGTAGATTTGTAGCAGAATTTTTTTCAAATATTAGTATCTCATGAATATTTCTAATTTTGTTTATTAAAACTCTAAAAAAATAATTGTTTAAATCAGTGGCAGATCGTGGCTTGGACGATGGGACCCCTTACTAAAATTAATTGAAAGAAGAAAATTAATTGTATATTCTTAATTCTACATTTTTATTAAAAATGCAAATTTTTAAATAGTTATAATACATTTGTCGTGTGTGAACATTAAAGTTGTTTCCCTCAGTATATACAGTTACACATGTACACGATCAGTGTTTGGACGACCGGCAGTGTCGTCCGAACAATATTTTGTAAAGTATATTATAAACGAGGCGTCCAGTCGTGTGCGGTTTTGCTGCAATCTTTTGTACGGGTTTTGAACCACTGGCAGCGTCGTCCATACAGTAAAATATTAGTATGTTACTACATTGGGTAATTTATTTTTAGAATTAACTACGTGTACGCTCTTCGTTATTCGCTTGCTATTATAGTGTGTAATCGCTATTATTATTATTATTATTTCCATTTCTATTTTCTACTGCGACCTTCAAAATAATAAGTGTATTGTGTTCTATTTTATTATATTTAATTTGACAATTTTTTATACCTATAACTAGCGGTATTATATTTAAAGTCGCACCCCCACCACCAGCACCCACGAGCCACCACTGGTTTAAATGATAAGTTGAAATTATATCATAGAAGACAAATAACTATATTTAACTATTTCCCAGGATATATTAGCTGAATAATATGTATTGACAAGAAGAGTGAAACAAATCAAAATTATTCATTTTTGTACCAAAAACACATTTTAAACTACAAAATTTTTATTAATTGAGCAAGCATATTATACATTAATAGCTTCGAAAAACTTTAATTATCTTAATATCTATTAAACTGAAGATTTCGTAATATAGTTTATGTTTACAAGAAAAATGTATTTAAGGCTTGTCTCATAAGTGTAAACTACAGTCAAAGTAAAAAATAATAATTGTATTATTAGTATAAAATTTGAACATAATTGAAAAAAAATGTTATTACGTAAAATATAAATAAATTATAGACTCGAAATCAATATAAAATGTAATTTATCAAATTTTGGATTAATTAGAAATTAACCTATAATTTGTACTTTTTCGGTAATTACCTGTAATTGACTGTATTAACGGTAAATAACTGTATTATACGGTAAAAATAATGTAATCTAGATATGTTACTTATTATATTTTATCAAAAGCTTAACAATTAATTTTTTATAGAATCTCTATTTTTAAGTACAGAAAAAATTCAGAGAATGTTTCATTAACATTTTGAATATCGACATATTATGTGCCATCGGAATATATCGACTGTTTACAGACTAATAAGAGTAAACAACATTTTTAATAACAATTTATTTTCTTAAAAACATAAAGGTAAGTTATGTGTAATTCAAATCAACCAAATCTGAATATTTTTGGTAAAATATCGCATATGCCAATTACCTTGCAAACAGTTAATATATTAGTGTACTTAAAACTTTGTATTATTATTATTATTTTAGTTGATTTCTCCCCAGTACCACCTACATCATTTCAACAACCCTCAAATGGGCTCTGTAATATATATGCGTATTAAAAAAATTGAAAAATGAAATATTGCCCCTAACTTAATGTATACGTTGTATGTACAGTCAATATTGATTGAATCCAGTCAACTTGTATGATTTTCATCAATTTCCAATTGAACAATTTTATATTTTTAATAAATAGATTAAAAGCTTTATTTCGGAGACCATACAACAGTTATTTAATTATAATGCATTAAAAAATATTAAGTTGCATTAATATAGTACGCAATATCCGATTGCAAAAGTTAATCAGGAAGACATAATATCTATAAAAATAAAAACGATACAGCAAAAAATTGAACGTACTTTTTATGTGTCATTTTATTTATCTTATAAATAAATATAAAGGGTATTCAAAAAGTAAATATAAGTTTCTATTATTCTCGTTGTCTGTAACAATTGATCCGTTTCCTTTTTGAACTTTACATAATTTATCTTTGATAATTTATATGAAATTAAAAATTTGTAAATTATGTTCACTACTGTCACAAATTCAAAGCGCTGCTTTTTCACGTATTTCGATAAATTACCATCGTGTGCCACTTAATTGAGATTTCGTATTAACAGTTCAAAAGGTATCGCGCAAAGAGTTTACATAATTCATATTGAGGACCGTATTTCTTAACAAATATTAAAGTGTAGTGCCAGAAATCCATAGGGACAATGTATGCGATCATACGCCTTGGAGTTTTGTAGAGGTGTCTAGTGGCTGTATTTTCATTTGTACATTCGTAAGAACGTACAGGAAGACACAAGTGTGTTTTATGCGCGTTCGTGGCTGGCGGATCAGCGTAAGAGCCGGGACGACGCGCGACTACATCATTGTGAGAGTGCATGGCGGCAGACACAACTGACATGATGGTGACACCTGGTCCCGGCGCACAAAACTCATCGATGCAAACATAAATGTATAAGTGCAATGAAATCGCAGTGATGTTTTACCTATGTCAACATTTTTTAAAATAAAATCATAAGATACCCTCAAACTTTTTTAATAAAGTAGTAATAATTATTGTGCCCAAGGGTGTCAAAATCGTAAATACTATGTCCCTAAGGACATTTTGAAAACTTACAAGGCCAGCGTAATGCGTATATATATTCGTATATTAACTTTTAATATAATTTAAATAACCATAATAATAAAGACGTCTCAATGCGAATAAATAGTAATTAACCGTATATTGTTTCTTTTTTCTTTTTTAAAAAAAGAGTACCGTGAAATGTATTTATCAAAATTTTATTAGTTAATACTTTTATTTGGGAATAACAAAAACAATTTTTTGATACAATAAAAGCAACTAACAATAGGATACTTAATAATAATTATTATTAAGTATCCTATTTTTAGTTTCTCGGATTATAATCCATGTTCATTACACCGCCACTGTCACCAATTTACCATGAAAAATTATTATTATTAACCTCAATTTTTATTCATTATTGCAGTATTAATAAGACGCAAAATACAAATATTATTATAACAGATACGTTATGGGACGTTTTGGGTAATAAAATATTTCAAATTGTAAAAGAAAGATAAATTTGTTATATAATAAAAAGATGTACAGAGTTCTGTAAAAAGAAAAAAATTATCATTAATTATTTAATGTAATGTGAGCACAGTAGGCATAGTCGTGAGTATGCCTATAGGGAGGCTACATTTTTTTTTTTTTAATAAGCCTTTGGGTGAGGTCTACCCAACAATTTACTATGTTTTTTTATAGATTAAAAACGAATAAAATGTGACGTCATTTTTTTCAGACATTATTGAGAATTACATATTTTTGTAAATAAAAAATGACCGATATTAAATTCTTAAATAAAAATGTTGCTTAATTGAAAAAAGTCCACCTCATCTAATTTGCTTTTGTTTATCATATTACAAATGAAAAAATCAAAATTGAAATAATTTTATTAAATATTGAAGGTTTTCTGGTATATGAAATATTTATCTTTATTACTTATACATTTTGTTTTTCTACTTACCTAAAAATTATCAAACAATTTTAAGGTCTTAAAAATTTTTACTCACAAGTTATTTTCCTCTGATTAATGGCTAATAACTTTTCTTCATAACGATGAGGACGTTGAACCATCATCATAGTGGTCTGTTTATAAAGTCTAATACCTGGAGATCAGGAAACACAATGAAAGGACCTACAAAACCTTAAGGTATTCCTCCAAATATGTCACTGTATTTTTTAAATAAAAACAAAAAAGTTATGATTCCATAGCGTATAAAAAGAAAAACCAAATATTTTATATATTACCCTTGATTAAATTTAATTAATTCTAATAATTATGAGTATAGTTGTTATTTACAGTTTACAACTTGACGCATCCACTTTTAAACGTATTAACTTTTTATGTTAAACAAAAATATGTACTAATAATTTTGTGGAAATAAATTTCATAGCTTAAATATATAAAGGGTGTTCAGTAAGTGAGGAATCATGTCAATTGTTACAAACAATGATAACAATAGAAACATCGTCTCCTTACTAACCGAACACCTTATATATTTTTTTTATTTAAAATTTTATAATTTATATGAACTCTCTTAAAAAAGTATCCGAATTTTCGTATACATCATGTATGTATTGGAAGTTTATATCACATACAATGTAAACGAAAATTCTAATAAATAGTAATAAAAATGTCATTTGTGTAAATTAATTTTTGATACTTTATGTCAAAATTACACTTTCAGTGTGTAAAATTAACTTATGTATTGAAAATATCATACTAAAGAATAAATATTTTTGGATCATTTTAGAGTATAAAATATATAATAATATACTAAGAACACTGTTCATTTTTTGTGTTAAAACTTATTTATTGATAATTTAAATTTATAGTTTGTGTTTATATTTTTTTCAGCACTAGACATAAATAATTAGGTTTAATTTCTGTTAATATTTCTGTTAGGTTTAACTCTGAATAACCCTTAAATTACTTATATAATAAATGTATTCAATAAAAAAAAAAATAATAATAAATTTTACAATTTAATTATTTTAATAATAACTGAAATAGGTTTCATGTAAAGAGTATAACAATTTAATTTTTTTTCACCAAATATGTTAATTAGTTTTCAAAAATATTATAATTTTTTTTAGCAATCTCTTGAAATAATTAGTTAAATATCGTATACGCAATTTTTAAAGTAGTTATAGCTGTTTAAATTTAGTTTTATAAATTAACCTATAATTAAATTAAACTTAACGTGTTTTTAAAAACTTAAAATTTGTTGAAAAATAAATAAATTTGAAATATAAATTAATTTTGGATGTTTTCATGGCATTAGCTGAAATTATATAAAAAGAAGATGGTGGTATATAAGAAATATTTAAACTGTACATTATTAAAAAAAAACAGTTTTCCAGTTTGCTTTACGTTCATTAAAAAAAAAACCTTCATGATGCTATTTTTGTTTCATAGTATTTATAATTATGAAAAAACGAGACTTTTAAACTGTTGCAAATTAAATTACACCGTTTTATAATTTGGGTTGGAATTTCCAACACGAAGAAAAACCCGGTTTATCATTAGCATAATCAATTTCAACTGCATTTAACGGTCGGATTGATTAGTGACAAAGTAATGATCAAATGCTAGTAATGGAAGACGTAAAAGATAACTAGACCACTGGGCAAATTAAACACTAAAATTCACAATGAAAGGCCTCTTGAGTCAACGATCGAATGTAGTAACCGCAGCAGCTACGGGACGGGCAGCCATGTTGTCATTTTTTTGAACTGAACGTCCAAACCTGACTTCCAAGCCGTCTACATCCACATCATAGTGACGCCGAGGAATTCTGTTGTCGTTTGGCGAGTACACTTCACCACGACCGAACCTTATAAAGTTTGAATCGCGGCGACCGAATCTGATAAAGTTGGAGTCCAGTCTTCTACCTACGGCGGCACCCGGTTCTTGACGTTTAACTGGCGTCTCAGCAGCTGTCCAGCAGTCAAGTGCGCGACCAAATCGCATGAAGTTCTTGTCGAGTGCACTCCGTCGTGTCAAAGGGTCAAGCGGTCTCAAAACAAAACGTTTGTCCACATCAGCATCTCCACCATCCGCAGCTAATGCTGTCACCGATATCGCAACGGATAACAAACACAGCAGCATGTCACGATCTAAAAAAATCACCAAAAATTTAACTCTGAATTGTATACAAATTAAATCTTTTATGTCATATTTGTACACCAGAAGTGAACTATCACAAGTCGACGTACATATCTAAATAGCTTATAAAATAAAAAAGTGGTTTAATTAAGAAAAAGACTGGTCGATAACAACTTTCGACACATTATTTTGGAGGAAGTTATTACTATTTTTAAGTATATAATGAAGATGAGGCGGGGGTATGTCATAATTTATCATAAACTGTTTTTCGAATGTACTCTCCTCTCTCCTAGCCATAAAAATGTTAATAACTTCTTAAATACTGGTCCAAAAATATTATCGACCAGTTAATTAAAAAAATATATATATATAATTATAATTTCATAATTTTTTATTCTATAATTTTATTCTAGTTTAATATGTGTGTTGCCATTTATAAAAATAAAATTGATAATTTTATAAAATTTAAGACATAAATTAAAAAAGTAATTAATAACTGATAAATTAAGAAATATTTAATGCTAAAAATTTTCTTGACAAAATTGTTATTTAGGAGAAATGTCGGTCTAATGTCGGTAATACTAGATTGTATTACCAAGTTAGTGAGCAAACTAACAAATGGTTAATTTTTAAGTTTGTTTTAACCGCCATTTAATGTACAAGTACATCATCGTTTTCATGGCAAAACCGCGTAACTTGTCAATATAAGAATTTATAATATCAATGCATATTTTAAGCGTTTTTGAAATAATATATTTCTCCTGAATAATTTAAAAAAATCGAATTTCAAGGTTTTTTCTATGAGACGGCGATTTTTTTTTTGTAAAAGACTATGAGAATATTAAAAATTCAGACTAAAAACAAGACAAAAAAAAAAAAAAATGGAACAAATAAAATTGTTAGTGAGTTTGGGCATCACACCATTTCAGTAATGATTTTTGAGTCATAGTTGGTACAAAACAATGTCAGTAAAATGGAAAAATACCTAATGAAAGTACATATGGAGTATTGCATAAATCTGATTTAGTATATAATAAGACATACTAGTATGATTGTTGACATATTATTAAATTTTTTAGCATAGTGACATTTATGCAGCGTTTTTAATTAAATTAGTTAAGCAGTTGCTTATGACGCCTTTTGCGGGAGTAGTGAAATCTCTTTATAGTAAGTGATTTTTTTAGGTTTTCATTGTAAGTCGAGATTGTCTTTTTTCTTTAAGTATTATGCTTTAATAATTTGATGAGAAATATACAAAAATTGTACCAAAATTTCATTTTATAACTTTCTTTTAAGTAATTTTTTCTTGTTAACAAACAATTAAATAATTGTAGACTTACTTTAGTTATTAATTAAAGCCAACTATAACGGAAAAGCGAAATAACTGTTTTTTGAATTATTTATTTGTGATAGTTTTTCTCAATAGTAATTTAAATATGGGTCTATATTTATATTATTCTAAATTGTATGACTATAAATTTTAAACATTTATTTAGCAATATTTATGTACTCATAAAAATCGATTCAATTTAAAGCTATAAGTAAAATTTTTATAAACTAAAATAAGTTTCATAGCAAAGAAATCTTTTAGAGTATACATTACTTAAAAGATTTTATAAAAATAAAATTATTACGATTTGTATAATAGCTTGTGCAGAGACGTAAGATAAATTTGCTATAAAAAGAGTTTTCTAAAGCTCAAATAATTTTTTATCATAATTTCATTTGAAAATATTTTATCATATTAATGAAGAAATGCAAAATAATATTTTATAAATACGTAAAATATAAAGATAATATATCAAACTGCATAATTTTACTTAAGTATTAAATTTATTAAAGATAAAATATTAAAGTATCATTTAATCAATCAATTGACCTGATGGTCATTTATAGTTTATCCATTTATACATTATATACAGCAGAGGTAAAATTTTTTATAATAAAAGTTATGTGCTTGAAGTTTATTGTTACAGGAACCCAAAGTTTATTTTAGAAATTATTTTTTCAGTCTTTTATGAACGATTGGCTACTTATATTATTACACAATATTGTTCTAATAGTCATAAAATATGATTAAGTTTTCAACGTGTGGATAAAATACTTTTGAGGCTTATTTTACTTTTTAAATCATTCGTATTTTTTATTTTTATCGTTTTACATAAATCTGCTGTTAATATTTAGTTTTACTATGAAACGATTCTATATTACATAGTTGTTAGTATTATACTTGCAGTGTTATAATAAAAAGTTGTGTGGAATAGCAATATGTTTTTAAGTAATTTTCATGTTTCAAATAAGTACAAAATTAATTTTTTGTTAAACTACAAAAATATACTGAACATGATTTAGAATTTTTTGCAAAATATATATTATATTTATCTTTTAAATAAACTAAACATAAATAATTTTGTAGGTTTTCTAAAATGTAAGACTTGATAAAATAAAAATCAGTATATAAATTTATTATTATAACTATAAAAGAGATTTTTAATTTTAACATCGTTATAACTTTCAAAATATTACGATTTGTTTAATTACTTATTGTAAATCATTTAGTACCAAAGGAGAATTTTATACTTAAAATAAAGTACAAAACTAAAATTATTAAGTTGTTTATTCATTATTAAGTGTTAAAAGGAAATAATTAACACCTTAAATATCTTAATTGTGGATTATGTTGAATTATAAAAGGAAATATTACTACAATAAAATAGGGTAACTTTGTTGTTAGCGTAGCTTTGACAATAGTGTATTTATATTAATTTAACTAATATAATAATGAGGTCCCAGAAAGTTATCTAATTTTATAGTACAGGTTATTTTTTTTTATATTAGTAATAACCGTCTTTAAATTTTTCTGGCATTCATAAACCATTAGTAGCTAAAATATGTTTGTTTGGTAATCTTTATTTTAATATAGTTACTAGATTTACATTAAAGGTTGCAAAAATTCTCAATGAACAAATATATTTATAACTACATAATTAACACTTAAATTTGTTTTATTTTTTGTATAGGAAATGTTAAATAAGAGTTAAACCCCCTCCATATATAATTATAGCGTTTGACTAGTGAGTGATACACATAAAATACGTATAATCACATAATTGCAAAATTAATGCTTTCTCAACTTGGCATTGAAGATAAAATATAAAAATTACTATCGATATTTTTGTTATAAAATTTCTATAGTATTCAAATTATATACTTTTGAATAGAATGTTCTTGTATGTAGTGAAAATGAATCACAATTAAAATAACTGTAATATCTGCAATGTTATTCGACGGTTATAAATTATTTCAGTTTGCAATTGACATTGGAACGTGTTTTTTCCGGCATTGAAATAAACAGTTGGTTTAAATGCAGATCTCTGCTAACTAAACCTGTTGCATTCAAAATATGATCTTCTATTAAATAATGACCGGTGTAATGTTTTGAATAATAATTTTTATATTAATAACACTAACAGCTTAGTTTACCTTGAAATGGCGTTTGACGGATGAAAAACGGGCTATTTTTTCTTTTGTACATTTTTTTATTGTTTTTTAATAATTAAGAAAATGGTTTATTTAAATATATATTTAAATAAACCATTCACTGCACGTTTTTAATACCTGGAATTTTAAGATGGATTGAATTTTACATTTTATGTTGGTAAATAAAGTAAAATTGTTATTTTATCAAAATCAAATCCATTGTAAAGTATTTCATTATCATATAAATAAGCTTTTATGAGCTTCGATGGTAAATATAGATCATATAACTACAACATTATAATAAGATATATCTTTTCCGGCACGAAAAAAGTATGATAAATTGAAATGTAATTGGAAAAACTAATCAATTTTAATTTATAAAAAAGAATGACTACTTAACTCACTGTTTTTATTTAACAACTGTTTAGAAAAAAACTAGATTAATATTTTTTGATATCACAACACCAAAATATTGTTGTTATAAAACTGATGATTAAATGGATTGAGAAATTGTGACGTATAAATAAATAATAAAAGTATAGTTCTATATGAATTAAAAATTTAAATATAGAAAAAACTATTATACATTTTTAAATCATATTCATGTTCTTATGAAAACACTTTACCCAAAGAAAAACCTCAATCAAAATTGAAAGAGAAATTTTATCAAGGGTTTATGATAATGTTTTATTAATACGAACAAAATAACTATTCTTATAAATAATTATTGTTCAAGACAAGAAAAAAAAAATATCATATTGATAAATATATCATTGATTCAATAGTAATGATATATTTATCAAATTGAACAATGAATTTATTATATAGATCGAGGTTTTTCTCTGGGTGTTGTTTTTGACCTTTTGTTTATACAGAATTTCATAATTTAATATTCAGTATTAGCTTGACCATCATAAAAAACTTGAAATTATGTTTCGACAAATATGAATTTTTTTTTGTAAAACTTTAATTATAAGATTACATAATGATGTAATCTAATCATTATGTATATTCCCATAACAAAACTATTTCTAACTATAAGTTCAATTATTTAAAATTAATATTTTAAATAATATTAGTCACTAGTGATCAATTCTTATTATAAGATTTTAAATATAAGTACTAATTCCAAATAGCAACTGTTGTTATTACATTCTGTTAAATATATTTTTTTATTTAATAAATAAATAAAATATAAATGAGTAGTAGTATCACATGTGTGATTAATATTAACACAAGGTTTCTTTGTGTAATCACAATTACAAAATTCATCAATATTTATATTCAACTTCACCCTAATGTACATTTAAATTGTTAAAAAGATAATATCAATTTATTATAATTATTTTTTAAAGTAGAAATAAATATTAAACATATTTTACAAAACAAATTTCCATTTATACAGTGTGGTGATTTAAGTACTACTCGTTATGTTCTTGTTAAATAATGATTTCTTCATAGAAATATATACTTTTTTTAATTTGTTTTTATAAACCATTGTAAATTTTAAGTTTATTTAAAGAAAGGATTATTCCTAAAGGTAGTTTTTAGTGGTAAATGTTGAAAGTTAAATGGAATATTTTTTTACAATTAAATAGATTGTAATAAATAATTAAAAATTTGACTAGAATTATATAATTACCTTTTTAAGTTGTTATAATTTTTAGTTGTAGGCGAGCGGGATACACAACGTAAAAGAATTCTTATCTGTGTTAACAAAATTGATATTTATAATGGTTTATAAAAATTAGTTAAATGTTAAACAATGCATTTTTATGAAAAATTCATTTTTAAGTAAATAAAAAATGAGTGGGCAGTATACATATAAATTATTATGTATGTTACAAGTTAAATGCCTTAATGAACTAAAAAAGCAATTTAAAACAAAAATAATAGTACCAAATTATGTGTATATTATTAGACTTTTGAAATTTTGTTTTAAAAAAATATTAATTGTGTAAAATAAGGAATCCTATGAAATAGTACAAGAAATTTTATTAAGGTTTCTTATTCGGGTGTTATTAAACTATACTCCGGTTTGAGGTAACCTCATCTTTACTACAGATAAAATGTGTGATATTAAATAAACACCTCTAATTATAGTAGTATATGGACACAATTAATAGGATTAAGACATTATACACATACTTACTTTTTTTTTTATTATTTATAACTTATCTATACGACCCGTTTATATACTATTATTTTTCACAAAGCACATCGTGTTGTATGGAACTTATATTATATTACAAAAGATTTAAGAAGAACTTTTATCTGATTGGAAAATAAGTTTGTCAATTTCATTTTTTTATAATAAATTTACATCTTTGTTTATAGACTTTATTAAAGTTATAAGGGTAAGGGTTAGATAAAAAAGTTAAATTAATATGGATTGAAAATATGAAAAATAAGTTTTTTTTTGTAAATTCCCGTGACGAAGTAGTTAATAAAACAAAACAAAACAAGTTATATTTTTTTTACTGTTGATATTATAATGTTGTATTTTGTTTACTATTTTTTTTTTGTGCAGCTATTTTTGAAATACAAATATTTTTATTCTTATTATTGTAAGGATTTTGTTCAGAATTTTTGACTATTTAACAAATTAATTAATAACTATTTAATTTTAAGCATAAATACATATTAGTATTAATCAATTTTAACATAGTTCAGTTATTAAAGAAAAAATTATTTATTAATATAATTTATTATAAAAAAGTGTTCAGGTATCTACCAAGTTATTATAATAATACAATTTAGCCTATGTCTAAACTAAATGTTAAATGTTCTCACGTTAAAATATAATTTTAACTTAATTTAATTTTAACTTTAAGAGAGTAAAAATAAAAATTAAACGTCTTATGAAATAACTTTCGAAAACAATTTAACATTTTAATTATAAATGCGTTTTAAATAAATTGCTTGTAACAAATTAAACTTATATATTAAATGAATCAGTTTCACTCGAGTTTACATCGTTTGACTGGTCCATCATGCCTATGATTGCCGGAGGCTCACACGAGCCATTTTGACAAAGAAAGGATTAACATTATTTTCAAATATAAGCAAATGCTTATTGGGAATAAATAGATGGTTAAAAATTAATTAAATTAGAATTCAGTAAATCATAAATGTATGCTATAGATTAGATGGTGTTATAATAGCTACTCAGATTTAAGGGTCATGAAGTTTCGATGCCATTATCACATAAGTTTGTATAATAGATACTTTGACCTATCTTACGCGTACTTCAAAATTTCTTCAGTATATTTTTTACAAATAAATTAAATTATACACTAATTATAATTTTTTATTTAATAATTATTAAATAAAAAATATATTTTCCCATAGTAAATCATAGTTTCATAAACCAAAGACAACTCTTAAATATGTCGCGTAAAAAATAACTTCTTCTAAATCAATTAAGTTTTTTTAATAGAAATAATGTAGTTTCAAAAATATATTTCCGGGTTGGATAAAAAATAATTTGAAATTTTTTAATTTTAGAAATATATTTTATTGGGACTGTCTTTTAAATGTGTTATTTTCTTGATTATTTAATTTTTTTTACGTAGAACAAAAGTAAAAACTATAAATGATCTCGAAAAATTATTAATTGAAATTAAAATAATAGAGTTTGAGTACTAGATTTTAATGTTTAGTACTATTTGGTTAACCAGATAAATACAGAATAGTTTTTTCTGATTATATAACTATAGATTGAAAACGATTATAATTTTTCTCATAGAAATATAGACTATTTAATATGTTTAGAATAAAATATAAAAGATTAATTGAAGTAGGCTGGTGTCAAACTTACTTAATAGATATTTAAACTTTTCTAAATTTATTTATTTTGTGTAGGTTATTTAGGCTGACGTTAATTGTCATCGAGTAATAATAATTTGATTAGCAGGCAAGGCAGCTGACTTAAGCCAAAACTTTTAGAGGGGTTGATACTTCTAATAATTATTTCTCTCTCCTAATACATTCATAAACATTATTATTAATGTAATACCAAATAGGAACAGTGATCCGACATCCCTCCCCTTCAATGACATAAAATCATAGTAGTTAGAAAAAATAAATGGGTGAAACTCTATATAACTATTAGAACTTTACGTACAGAAAGTTATACGGACCCATTTCTAATAAATTTCTAAATATGCAACTGAGAAGGGTCACTTATTTAATAGTGCTCTTTCTAATATAAATTATAAGTGGTGACTTATAAGCATAGTGGCTTTTCTTATTTATGTTAAACTGAAGTACTTTATACAGTAAAATTATTTTTGTCTAATATTACATGTAATAAGCGTAGATAGTGATGCAATCAATTAATTAAACATTTTCATGCATCACATTTTGTTTAAACTATTAATTTGGTGAAAATAAATCGAATAATCAAATATTATTATATTTTAATTGAAATGTCTAATGCAATAACCGGTATTTCATTTTACTTTCAAATAAGTTTTTATATATTTTCTAATAGAAAATATTTTTGTCAACAATTTTGTGTGATCACTGGGCCTATCTGTCAACTAGAAAAACTAATTTTGTAAGTAGAGATTTTCGTAAATATACAGAATTTAGAACTAAAATTATTAAGTTATTTATGTGTCCTAGACAATTTAAAAAATGGAAATTACTACACTGGACTTTACAATTATTATTTTTACTTGAATTAAAATTTTTTTTTGGATGAAATTATGTTATACAATTTATTACACGCTTATGTAAGGAAAATAAAATCTCGTTTCTATAATGTTATGTATGAAAAAACATTTTTCAAATTCTACTGGATAAATTGAGATATGTATACCCCCCCCCCTACTATACATTAATAAAAATGAAAATCTTTATAATATTAGTTTGTAATCTTACCGCTAATTATTTTATTAATGCGCACTCGCATGTGTTGGTATTTTTTACTTAACACTGTATTATAATTAAAAAATTATTATTGTTTACTTTACAAACAATTAATTAATCTGTTACAAGAAGTACTAATGAGAGAAAAAAGTTACTTGAAATTTTTTTGAATAAATTCTTTTGGTGTCGTTTGAGCTGGACGTGTAAAACGGCTATACGAGATTCTAAAAACGTCCGCACATCTTATATATATAGACAGTAGCGATGTTCAACTGCATAGCGTGACACGCATGTCCTGGAATTTTCACCATGGTGTATTAGTAAATCATCCCCCGACTAATTAATAATGGTGTCAGTGAACCATCTTCTTGATTTTCAAGATTATGATATTTATTCTATAATATAATATTCAATAGGTGTCTGATTGCAAAGTAATAATAAGACTTTTTAACTTGAGACTTCTAAGTAGAACAACAGTTTCCAACTCTTAAAACATTTAATATTTATTTTTTAAATGATAATCAGGTAAAAAAAAATATTTATTTTACTGATATCATAGAATGTCAGATACTACTAAATTACATAATTATTATTATTTTTAATAATAAACATTATGAGCCTTGATATGAATCTTATCAAAATTTTATTTGAATTTGGCTAATGTCTGACTGATTTTTTGATTGTTAACCGAAAATAATAGGCTAACATAATCAAGGCTGGCTTCGTTATAGGTCAACAGAAGCATATGTCTCTGAACATATTTAGAGGCTGAGTCAAAAGTTAGATGATCAAAAACTTTTTACTTTTGATAAATTATTATAATAACTTTGGCACTTTCAGAGTTAACACTGAATATACGCTTAGAATTTCAGATTTGGGATTTATAAAAAATGATCTTTTAAAGAAATTTTGTGCACAAAAAAAAATAAAGTGTTTCGTAGTAAAATCATTAACTTCACAAACTCGCTTACTGAAACAATTCTGATGAAGAAGCATTTACATTGATTTATTAATATTGAATTTTTTTTAAATTTTATGATAAAATGAATATAGTCACATGAGTTGCGGAAAAGGGGGTCTTGTGCCCCTCGGACCACCTCATAAATACATATCTGTAACAATTATAAAAAAATTAATATCTCTGATATCCTTCTAAAAGTTATAACTAGTTAATAAATCATGAATAATCAATAAATTATTACACTATTGATTGACCTCTAAATGGTTAAACGAAGACGTTAACTTCCAAAAAGATAAAGAATCTGTTACTTTAAAGCTAGTAAAAATACTTATATAAGCGTGACATTGTAGAAATGAAAATTTGTGAAATGACCGCTAAAAATATACCCATAGTATTAACTTGACATTGTGGTAATGAAATTTCATATTAAAGTTTACACGCTTGCCTTTAAAATTAGCATTACATTTCAATAACAGCTTTAAATTACAAATATATTCTTTTTTCTTTAGAGGAATTTAAATTTGTTAAAATTAATGCAATTATAATTTACGCATCTTTTTAAAATTCTACCTATAGAAGACTTCTTATTTGATACTTAAATATGATAGTTTTAAGAAGTATAAAATATTACGGATTATTTTTAGTGTGACGTTTCTTGCTTTGCAATAAAGAGTCTAACAATAATGATCTCCATCACTATATAACTTATATCTTATGAAACTAATTATCTTCAGAACTATAAACAGTTTATTTCATAAATTATGAGACTATTAAACAATTTAATAGTCATAAGTCAATTTTTTTTGTTAAATATTTAAAGGTCAAGGTTGTGAGTAAATATTTCTTCAACTGGTATTTAGTTAAAAAAAATAAATTATTTCATATTATTTTATTACAATGCAAGTTTTTTATTTTTATTGAAATTTAATCCATTATAATAAATAAATAAAATGTATATTTGTACATGTTTGATATGATACCCACTCTTTGATTTCACTTAAAAACATTTTTTTTTTTGTAATTCCTTATATTTTAACATTGGTTGAAGTCATAATGATTTTATTGTAGTACTGCCTCCTTTGAAATATTTCTGTTTTAAGTAAAATAAAATATAATAATTCAAAAATAATTATTGTTGAAAACAAAACAAAATTGTTTAGAAATTAGTAAATTTAGTATTTTAGGCACTTAGTAAAGACTATTTTTAATATTTTATCTAAAAATATCACTCTTTTCACTCAATAAAATCAAATGTATAAAGTAATTTGGAAAAATCTGTGAAAGGGTATTAGATCCACGTTCCTGTGTAGTTTAAATTGTTTACTCTATAAAATAGTAGCTTAATAGGTTTTAGTTATTAACTATGATATTTAAATTTTTATTCCTTAAGGTTAGGAGGGGATGATGTGTTTTTATATATAAAGGTACACCATAAAACTGTAAACTCAAACAATTATATGACTGAATAAAGACCTCTGAAAGTTGTAGCATTTTAATAAATCTAAAAAATTTAAATATTGTTCATAGAATTATTTGTATAGAATGATAAACATATATTTTAGTTGTATCAAAATACTAATATTTCTCATATCTAGTTCATCCGCCAAATCACCATCAAATTTATGTAAGTAAAGTTTTTTTTGTAAAAATATATCGTGAGTTTGATAATTATAGCTATAGTTTATTGTAACATAATTTATTTATGAAAAGCTATAGTTCTTTTTGAACAGTATAAAAAGATATTCTAAGTTGTTTACATCAAATTTATCCACTCACTACATATTGATTTAAATTTTTATTTTGGAATATGTAATTTTAGCAACAATTCATAGATTTGAAGGTATTTATGTAAATGAATCTTTCAACAATTTAATAACAATGATTATTTATTGTAATTTATCAGCATAGGTAATATGTCTTAGTTATTGAAATTAAAACTTTTACAGATAATTTTTAAAATCATACCCCGAGCAAAAAATTTTTTTAGGAGTAATTTAGATTTTACTTTGGGTAAGGCTTTAAACAATATTTTTTAAACTTGTTGCATCACGAAATATTATGGTGTTATATTATATGCAATTTAAGTAGAAAAGAGACAGATGAAAATTAGAGCAATTATTATATGAAAAGAACCACTTAAAAATAACAATATTTATTTGTTATATACTTTTATTTATATAAAACTTATACTATAAAAAAACTTTCAGTTAATAATTATGAACGTTGTAAATTGAGCGATCAAGCAATAAATACGTGTCTTAAAAATGCCCTTTCCAAATCTTTTCCATATATGGCTAAAGGTAATGTATAATTATTTAAATTTATGCATGTAATAAAATCTCAACCATAACTAAAAATAATCATAATTACGTTTTTAGGCGTCCCTAGCCTTAATTTATTCCCTTTTGATCCCATTAAAATATCATCAATAGAAATAAAACAAGATAGAAGTAGTTCTGTACAAATTAATTTGAAGGTTAAAGACGTAGAAGCCAGAAATCTACTGTCTTCAACTGAAGTTACACATTTTAAGTAAGAGAATTCTATATTTAATTACTAAAACAAATCTTGAAATTACTTTAATTAACATCACATAATTACTCAGGACTGACGTAAAAAACTTGACTGCTTCATTATCTTTGTTGATAAAAGATCCTTTGTTGCTAAATGGTACTTATGAAATTAGTGGAAAAGTACTACTTTTACCAATTGTGGGAAATGGTCCATTTTATATGAAATTGGGTAATGAAAATAATTTATTTTATGTAAATTTTATAAAGAATATTTATGAATATGTTATAATTTTTTAGAAAATGTTATTGGATCAATCACCTTCCACATGAAAAAAATAGAAAAAAATAAAAAAGTTTATTTAAAACCTGAAAATATTTCATGGACATTTACCACAAAAAAACTAATTATACGTTTGGATAATTTGTTCAATGGAAATAAAGCATTAGGTAATTTATACACTTGAATTTACTTGTAATACTTAAAGTGCCATTAACAAGTTTAATTAAAAAAAAATGATCTTATCTGAGTTCAAAATTATAACCGTTTTTACCATTAATTGAGTATTAAAATGTAATCAATGATGTGTACAACAGTGTGTTGAAATATATTCTATCAGGATTTTAATTTGTCAATAAAAAGTTGTTTTGTTGACCTTGAACATATTACAGAGAAATTTAATATTCAATATTAATATAAAATTTATTAAAATAAAATAATAAATGAACAATAAATTTGTCTAAAAAATTATGTAAACTATTTTATATCAAATTACGTAAAACATTGTAGTTACGACTTATTTTCATACTATTTCCCAAGTTAATTTTTAACTTTTAAAAACCATGCACATTAAATAAATTTATCTGTAGTGGAAAAGTGACATGATCAATATGTCAATTGTAACATATTATAAATATGAGATACCTTACCCGCCCGAGCTACATGATCGCACTTGGTCATTGTACTAATGTGATGCTGAAGCACAGTGAGTCGGTGCCTACGACCGAAAAACAGACGGCTGGTCGAATACTAAGAGGTTCAAAGGCTACGATTACAATTTAGTTTTTTTCATTAATATAATATTTGATTGATTTGAAAAATGTATATTTTTCATGATGTATAATAAATAGTTACACAAGCATATTTTTAATGAATCCATAAACGGATAATAGTACAATTTTTAGAAAATGTATTTATAGAATAAGTTAAGTTACTTAAACAGGGGACACACATTATTATAACTAACAAAAGTTTAGGGATCTATAGCATGGGGTCCCTCATTTACGCTGGAATGATTAAATTTGTCTCAAATAATTGAATTGGTGAGTAAAAAAACAGTAATTTCCTGGGCCGGTATACATATTGACGCGCGCCTAATTTTTTCTAACAAAATGGACCAAATACCACTCAGTCAGTGCCCATCGAGCTAGTTTCTACTCTAAGTGTTCAAAGAGATTTAATGAGTACATTTTGAGAATTTTGCTGTCAACCGATTAAAAATCTTGTACAAATAACACAAAATAATAATATTTTTTTCAATTTTATACTTTTGACTTTTTTGTAGTAGAAATTATTTATACAAAATACGTTTTTGTAACCTAAGAATAACATAATTGATAAATGTTAAAAGGAATATTTTATACATTAAAATTTTATAGGTGATAACATGAACGTTTTTTTAAATGAAAATTGGCCAGAAATATTGAAAGACTTTCAACCTGCCTTAGAAAAAGCCCTAGTATTTATTGCTTACGAGTACACAAATCAATTTTTCGGACGGATACCAATGGAACAACTGTTTATTGAATAGATTTATTTAATTAATTCATTTTTTTTTTTGATAATGGGAATACAAAGATCAATTTGTATTTCACCAGCTATTAAAATGTGGTAGTATGATTAAAAATGTAATAATTGATATTATATTAATATAATTATTTATTTAATATATTATAAGCATTTTTTGTATTTTATACTGTAAATAAATGTTATTGAATTTTATGTTTTTCAAATAATTTTTTAATAAAAAATCACCTTATTAATATGTTCAAAAATATTTCTTTAAAATATTAGTATTATTAGGAAAAAAATTCCTAATACCAAATTTTACATTACATAAATTTCTAAGTAGTTTTGTCATTTAATAAATATTTGTTATAAATTTATTCATTTTTTTGTAATTAATATTTTATTTGATATTATTTTAAATTGTATAATCAGTATTATTTAGTGACAATACATTTATTTCAAAAATATGTTTAAAATATCAGTTTTAGGAAAATTGTCACAGAGTTAATTATGATTTTTATGAATTAAATATATTGAATCTTGTATAAATGCATAAAAAAGATTTAAAAAAAAATTTTTTTTTATTAATATTGGTAAGAAATTATTTTTTAATTTACAAAATAGTATTGTTTAATTTATATTGATGTAGCATAGGCAACTTTTTAGTTTATATACAAATAATTTTAACACAAGCACTTTCACTTTAAATAATTATTTTTTTGTGTATTTTTTTTGCTTTTGTTAGTTACATATATATGTCCATTTATCTATTATAAAATATTTTTAGGTAGAATATAAAGATAACAATCCCAACCGATTTTAATCTAGTTGAACCCATTATTGTCGGAAATTTGAAAAACAACTTCAATTTTAGAAATTTAAAATATATCTAATTACAAGATATTATTACATATTCAAATATATATTACGTATATTAATTATTATTTTTACAAATAAATAGTTATTTAATCTCATTTAATTGGTATTTTTTAACATTAAAAACAAAGCCTGAAACATACCTGCAAAAATAATTGTATTTTATTTATGGGTTGGTAAATCTTATCAGGATCATTTTTGTGGTCTAGCTCACCTAGTCCCCAATTTATCTGCGTCCCTTCAAATAGCTTTCATTGTGAACTAAAATAAATATCATAACAATATCTATTTTTATCAGTGTTGCCTATTAATTTTAATTTAAAATACTATTTGCTTATTTGTATTTTATATTTAAAATAAGTATATTTGAGTATTTTGCTAATTTCCGTGTCTTATGCAATTTTAAGGGTACTATTTCATGAAAAATTATTTTTTCTCTAGCCAAACAAATATTTTTATATATCTCTACAAATAATTTTGTTAGAGTGTTTTAATAAATAAGGAAAATTGTTTCTATTGTCCATATTGATCATAAAAATAGACCTATTTTCTTACTTATTGAACTATCTGTATGTTAATATTTAATTGATGAGTAATTAGGAATTTGTCCTGAAATATCTTATTTATCTATTATCTATATTTTATTTTTTCTTTAATATGAAAATATTGTACAAGAATAAAACACTAGTTTTTTATATGTGTTATTTTTTTAAGTGACATAATCTTCAATAATCCAATTATTATCTTTATAAATTGTAATTCAAAAGCGTTACACAACATTAGTACCAAACTTACTATAAATATACAGTAATAAGTTATGACTGTATTTTATATTGATATTATTATAAACAATATTTATTATTTATATAATACATTGAAAGTAATCATTTTGCGTTATCTTAATAAGTCAATTGTTGAAAATTTAATTGTTAATAAAAAATACAAATATAAATGCTTATCAAACTATAGGAGGATAGTGAAGAGGACGAACCTCTTGTGATAGTGTTTTAAATAAGTTTTTGTTTTTTAAAAAGTTATTATTAAAAGTTAAAAGTCAATTATTGCACTATTTTATATTTTAAGTACCATTTTATAAATAAATAAAGTCATTTTGATCGTATATTTCATGCATTTAACAAATAGCCTTTCAGATTGGTAAGCACGCGAATGTAGTTGTTAATGAAAAGCTGTGATTTTTAAGAACTATGATCTTAGAATAGATTTTAAAAGATTTTTTGATTTATCAGCTATTAATTAAAATCATCCCTTATAACTTACAAGGGTGTTCACTTTATATTTTTTAAGTAGTAATTAAGGACATAATTAAATGGCTTATTTAATAAATAATTTTGTATTATGAATAATACTGGTCGATAACAATTTTTGAAGTTATTAAAAATTTAATGTAATAATTGGTGGTGAGGAGTGAGTGCTGCTATTTTTATCACTAGTCATTTCCCGATTGGGTATTTCGGTCATACTCTTCCAACCGGCTAAGAATAAAAATGAAAATAACTTCTGAAATAGTGGTTCAAAAGTTGTTATTGACCAGTCAGTTTCTTAATTATATCATTTTCTATTTTATAAGCTAGTGAACTATGTATGTTGACATTTCAAAAAATCATGTTGATACACTGTAAATTATAAGGGATGATTCTAAAGAGTAATTATTAGCTGATAAATAAAAAAATATATGTTTTTGAAAAATTCAAAATTTTTTTTTTCAATATTGAATATAGTTTGTGAGTAATGAAGTGATTCATAATAAACCGATCACTGTGTATTGTAATAAATTTACAAGCAATTTTTAGAAGTGAATATAATATAAAAGTGGTCCTCTCTAGGCCTACATCTTGTAATCACTATTTCTATAAAACCTTTGTCTATTTGACTTATGGATTGTACTCTTTGATAACTATTAAGACTACCAATTTGCGTGCATGTTATATTGCTGTCGTTTATCGCATCCCTGGACAATTAAGTGGATATTAACTTGGCATCCTTTTTGTCTAACTAAACTTTGAATATTAATGGACTTTGATACTCTCTAATTAGATAATAGCATGTTAACGAACCGCATGGGCGATTATAATACCACAACCCTTACATCACTCAGGAAAGTACGATATAAAATAGAAGTTTTTTTGTTATTTTACTTCAAGTCAAACCTACATATAGCCTTTATTGTTCTTTTATACGTGTCTTATGTTCAAATCTGGTGATATTAACGCGACGTGACAAAAGCCAAGGTGTGACCATATAGTAGTCGTACGTGTACAGACTATTTTCACAGCCGAATTGTATTAACTAACATTGTTAATCACAGTAAATATTATATATGGATTTCTCCATTTTTTTTGTCAACATTGTCCAGTGGAAACTAGACATTTTTTGCGGTGGAAAACAACTAACAGTAATGCTATTTAATTTCTAGGAAATCTATTATTATTTTTGCTCTGTTATTTTGTGTCACCCACGTGACACTAAATTCCAAAACGGATTTCTTTTTACAATCCGCTAGACCTACTAGATTAGCGTTGTACAACTAAATTAATACTACTAAAGTGAGTGATTGGCTCATATGTCAACAAGGTTCTAGCTAATCCAAAACGCGGGTCAACACACGTAGCTGCAAAAGTGCAGACATAAACTATAAGGTTTCCCGAACTGAACTACTTTTGATGAAACAGTTCACTTTAGGTAATCGACATCGTCGTGGTCCCAAAGGGAATACACTTGACAACCCCCAAACGCGTTTGCGTGAGTAAAAACTAAAAAATCTAGGCCGCAGCTAACTGCTGCTTTTTGTTTTTTAAGGTCAGAATGAATATTGCACAATGTTGTTTCGTCCTGTTTACAGGTTAATACAATGACGAAGTCACAATCAAAAGAGGATCTAATAGGTTCCAAAGATCAACTGAGAGGAGATAGAAAATCCTTTGTCTTACCTCCAGACTATGTACTGTCCCCTACAGAAAAGAAATTTTTACTTGTAGTCGAAAGAGGAGATTGTGCTTCTGTAAAGCGGTATGTAAATATTTAAACGTTTTATTTTAACAAAAATTAGTATAGTTTATTTGTTTTTACCAAAAGGATTACAATAGCTGTATTACATTTGTATACCAACTACTGTATTATGTTAAATGAAATGTAAAAATATTACTGAATAGTTGTGTAATTTAGTATAGGGTATAGGATGTTAACTTAATTTTTTAAATGCCAATATACATATTTCACTGGTTGAAAATTATGTTAGAAAATTATTCAACTATGAAAATGACTGAAGGAAATAAACTACTACTATTATGTTGGACTTATGAACAATTTATACCAGGGTGAGAGAAAAAACATGGTATAATGATTTTATATAATACAAATGACATAACCTGTACCTCACCTTCAGTCAATATTTTTAAGTGTTAATAATTCCCAAGATAATTCATTAAAAACTGTTATCAAACAATTGTTTTATAATATTTCAGCTAGCAATATTTATATTGGCATTTAAAAATATAAGGGATACGTATGGCTCTGAAAAATATCAAATCTCTTATAAATCAAGAAATCATCAAAATTATTATTATTTAGTTGTCAATGATCACTTTGTATTTAGTTTTCTCTCTAGTATCAAAAGATATTGCAGAAAAATAATTATTAGAATTTATTATTTTAAATGTTACATTTTTAAACGTTAAAAAAGTCTAATTTTTGTAATATATTCTAACATTTTTGTTTAAAATAGTCTAATTTTTGTAATATAAGCGAAATATTTTGATAATAAGAACGAGTGTTTATACAGAAAATATATTAAATTATAATGATTTAATTTTATAACTATTATCACGTTAAAATTAAACTTTTTTTCGTAAGTTTGTTTGATTTTTTCATTAATTTTGTTATGTTTAAGAGTTGAATGATAGATAACACATATAAATATGACTAGAAAAAAACTTCATGTAAACCAAGTTATCTAGACATAGCTTTATTATTGAAATTAATATAAAATAATATATTAATACTTTTACGCATTATATAAATAAAAAATGATCAATTTAATAGATTATTTAAAATAATTTTTAGTTATTGTAAAATTCATTTTAACTATCGAGCAATTAATAAAAGTTGTGGTTCATATTCAGTGACTTGCTTCATTAATTCTAAACTCTTTTATGTGAAATTTGACTTTTAGCTTACTAGATGAGCATAAAGGACAACCTGATGTGTTGAATATCAATTGCACTGATCCATTAAACAGAACCGCTCTGATAGCGGCTATTGAAAATGAAAATATGGATTTAATTCAGTTATTGCTCAAAGCTGGTATTAAGGTTAAAGATGCACTGTTACATGCTATTAAAGAAGAATATGTGGAAGCTGTGGAATTATTATTAGAATGGGAAGAAAAAATACACGTTGAAGGGCAACCTTATGTGAGTACTTTATGTTATTTTTATCGTGTATTATATAAAATTTAGAGCATTGGTGACATAGCTAAACATTTTGAATCATAATATATTTTACAAAACTGATAACAATGTCTTCTTCGTCTTTTAAGGACAGGAAGTTGCTACTTTATTGTTTTTTTTTTGAATAAGCCACAACGATACGTAAAATTTATTTAGAATATTTACAAATTTATCAATGGCTTTAAATTTTTGCTGATGTTTCGAACTCATTGCAGAGTTCATTTCAAAATTATCGATACAGGTCAGGGGTTGTAACTATATTGTCTACTATATTCGACATTTATAAAGATTACGAGAGCAGAAAAGAAAGTGTAAAATGTTAAGAATGATGAAAACCTCAACATAAATAAAATTCAGTTAAAAATAACATCAATAACTAGCAGACAGTTGTTATCGACAAAATAACAACAACAATAAATAATCAATATTGATAATATCGGCTGTTATCTGATTACCGATATGAAAACTAACAAAAATCAAAATAGACACCGACAGAATAGTTACAAATATCAGACCTGTAATTATGGCACTAAAATTTAACTCAGAAATGTGTTCAAAACGTAAGTTAAATTTGAAGACATGGATACATCTGTAGATAATATAACAATTAAAAAAAGCATTAATACATTCACACATAAAATTTACTGGAAATTGATTAATTATTTTGATGAGATATTCATGGTTTATGGTTATAGTCTTGGGAAGCAGTTGAACAATCAGGTTCTACGTTTACTCCTGATATTACGCCTCTCACACTGGCTGCTCATATGAACAATTATGAAATATTAAAAATATTATTAGACCGAGGTGCTACTTTACCAATGCCCCATGACGTAAGGTTAGTTGAATAATATTAAACTGTAAGAAATTAATTTTTTTTTATCACGTCAGATTAGCAAATTAATATCAAGGTATAATTTACCTTTTAAAATTAAAAGATGAGCCTAACTAATTTGTAAAATAATATATTCCACAAGTGTTTAAACTCAAAGGGATCCTTAATTGATACCCGACGACGCTATCCCTTTTAGTAATCTTTATTGATCTAGACCTATTAAGAACAAATTTAAGTATTTTTAACTATGTATAATAAAAAATGTATTGTATATTTATTGATTAAAAAATTTCAGGTGTGGTTGTGACGAATGCATTACTTCTAGTACACAAGATTCTTTGCGACATTCACATTCAAGAATAAATGCCTACAAAGCACTAACATCTCCTTCACTTATAGCTCTATCGTCGAGAGATCCACTTCTTACTGCATTTGAATTAAGTTGGGAACTCCGGAGGCTAAGCACAATGGAATCAGAATTTAGAAATGAGTATAACGTAAAAATTTCAAATATTATAATTTTAATTCTGAGGCAAAGAAAATTTATTAATTTCTATGATTTTTTCAAAATATATCTTATATGGGTCTGTGCTTTTAAGAAAAGGATAGAATTAATCACGTTTTTTCATTATATTTTTTTTTATTATACTTCTTGTTTTTTCCATAAAAATTGTCAATGAGTACTATTATTGAAATTATTATCACATAATTCTTAATAATAAATATATTTTCTCAAGTTAGCGTCATAAATAATTTTAAGTTTACAATATTATGATTAAAATAAAAAATTATTGATTTTAAATATAAGTGTAAGCACTTATTTTGTCTTATTTTTTTTTCATAGTTATTATGTTTAGATGAATTCGTCGTTATGATTACGATGCATTTATTCCTTAAAAATATAAATATGTAAAAATAGGGCAATTTGACTTTTTACCATTAAATTTATTTGATATAATTTATTTTAAAGATTTTTAGTAAGAAATGACAAAAATTAAAATATTACCAGTATGTAACATAGTAAGATTATATTCTTCTCTGTGCATCTTTATTTAACATAAACTAAATATTAATATTTTCAAATATTACAATTTTCAAAGAGGTATAGAAATACAGTTTTTTTCTATCATAATATATAGTTAGAAATAGGGATTTCTATTTAAGAAAATTAAATATAGGTTTTTTAAAGTCTAAGGGGATGAAAAAAAAATATTTTATAAATATTTTATAGTATTTTGAACAAAATAAATAACCTCTTTTCAAAGTTTTTTTCAGAAAATTTCTTACCAAAATTTGATTAATCTATTTAATAGAATAATAATAAAAAAACTTTGGTATCAATATTTATCTTTAAATTTAATCCTTAAGATCTTAAAAACTTCAGAAAATATTTTAATAAATAATAATAATTATTTTTTATTTTTATATACTCGAACTCGTTGCAGAGGTCATCGTCAGTTGAACTGTTATATAACTGTTGTATTGTTACTATAACAATAAATAATCTATATTGATGTTATCGGCTATCAACCGATTATCAATTAAAAAACAAACAAAAAACAATCTAGGCTGACGGTATAGTTACAACCTCGAACCTGTAACTAAAACGCTTCGAAGATGTATTCCGCAACGAGTTCTAAATAAATCAACAATCCATGAAAGTTATATCCCATTTATAATAAAAAAGTCCTAGTAAATTTAATGTATAATAAACTAGTTAAAACAAGTGAAAAATAATAAGAAAATCAAAAGCTATTAAAATTGTTAGTTCTTTTTCACTCAGAATATCTGAAATACAGTTTTTATAATAATGTTTTGGTATAATTTGTTAATTAAATAAACGAAATAAAATATAATATCAATCATGCTATAGACTATTAATGATATTAAGTATATAATATATACCATAATATTATAGTATACATTATATATAAATTTTAAAAATAAATTAAATTTTGTGTATTATAAACTATACAATTACTAGCTAAATAAATACAATATTAAAAATAAAATGATAGCTAATAAATTATTTTAAGCTTCATCTCTTATGACTTATAGGAATGCCAGCTTTATTTGATTAAATTAGGAACATATATATTTAACTAGCTTATAAAATAGGAAATATTCTAATTAAGGAAATTACGAGTCAATGACAACTTTTTAAACAGTACTTAGATAGTTACAATTTTTATAAAATGACAAATAGGGATAGCGCGTGAAAATGACTATTTCTATTATTTCTTGAATGCTCTTCCACCCGTTTAGGTTTAAAACTGTTCATAACTTCCGATTAATCGTCCAAAATTTGTTATAGATTCATAAATTTATTATTATATCATTTACGATTCAATAAGCTAGTAAAATATGTATGTTGCCTTAAAAAAAAAAAGTTGACATCTTTATTATAAGTATTAAGGGATGTTTCTAAAAACGCTTTATAGCTGATAAATGAAGAAGTATAGGTAACTAAAAAAGATAAAAATAAACGGTTCACCTGTATAAATTCAATAAATATTATAATATATAAAAAATTTTTATTGGTAAACATAATACCTGGAGTTATGAAATTTTTATTCGTTTAGTTGTCACAAGAATATTTAAACTCTGCATTTTTATTCAAAACAAATTTATACATTAAAATTATGTTATGTTAATTTACATCCTAAAGTTTCTTAGTTAATTTTTTTTACATGTAATAACACGATGATTTTGTAAATAAATATAGTTGTACTTAATTATAATTTTTTTAGGAAATGAGAAATACTGTTCAAACATTTGCTACATCTCTCTTAGACCATGTAAGAACATCGTACGAACTAGAGATAATGCTAAATCATAACCCTAAAGGCGATCCTTGGGAGCCAGGTGAAAGATTAACATTAGAACGTCTAAAATTAGCTATAAAATATAAACAAAAAGCGGTAAAAAGTTTTATTTATATAGTAATATAATAGCCAGAGTTGGTTCGAAATTTTAAACTAAAATAATATGAAGTTTTAAAATTATTATAAATCAAAATGATTCATATTTAATTTTTATCGTCACTTCAGGAAATTAGTTTAAATTAATTTTAAGTGAAATTTTAATTTAAGTTTTCGAATTTTTTTTAAGTATTTTTTAAAATTATTTTCCCAAATAACACTTTTGTTTCGTATCAGCTTTTGTACCAATAAAATTTAGCGAAAATTTCGAGTATTTATTAATTTAATTTATAACTGTAGTTTGTAGCACATCCAAATGTTCAACAGTTATTGGCTGCTATATGGTATGATGGACTTCCGGGATTTCGGCGAAAAAATATGGTAGGACAAATGATTGAAGTTGGGAAATTAGGCGCAATGTTCGCTATGTATGGTACAATGTACATGCTAAATCCAGATTCTAAAATGGGAGTATTAATGAAAAAACCATTCATTAAATTCGTTTGTCACTCATCTTCTTATGCATTTTTCTTAAGTAAGTCACATAGTTCTATATTATTATTATTGTTGTGATGCGAATAGAATAAAAATAATATTACTAATTTCTTAGAAATTTAATATTTAAACAAATTTATCTTTTAGCTTTATTGGCATTAGCATCTCAAAGAGCAGAATTTCTGGCATTAGAATGGATTGATACCGAATGGACAAGATCAATTTTAGAAGAAATGACTCGAAAAGAGAGAGGATCCATTCCGGGTCCAATAGAATCTGGAATCATATTATATATTATCAGTTCGTTTCTTATAAGTTTTATAAATTATATAATTTATTAAAAATAAAACTCATAGGTTTAATATGGAGGGAAGCTCATTCATTATATTCAGAAGGTTTAACAGAGTACATAAGTGATTTATGGAATATCGTTGATTTCATAACGAATGTATTTTATGTGCTGTGGATAAGTCTGAGGTTTTCTTCTTGGTTTATAGTGCAAGTTAGTAATTATTTTTAGAAATTTAATTATTATTAAGTCCAAAATTTGGAATTAAATACTAATTACGATATAATTATGTTAAACTTATTGTTGTTTTGTACGCTAATTTTATTTCATTTATTGATCAAAATTTGACCTACTTTTCTTACACATTAAAAAATGATCACATATGATCTTTTTTTTATTAAATCATATTCTAACATGATTCTATATAAAGATAGAAAGATAATTCTCTACAATTTTATCAATAAAGAATTGTATAAGTTTTTTTTTTTTAATGAAATAGTAATTTTAAACTTAACAAAAATATTCAATTTTACGTGATTACATAATGGTAAAATACTAAAATATTTTTGCAATAAAAAAATTTAATTACGCAAAAAAAATCTAAATTTTATTTTTTTTTTATATGTTTTCACTCTAAACAAGATTTTATCGATTTTTTTTTAAATTTTTGAGTGTAATTTCATTAAATAAATGTGATAGATATTATTGTTAGTTCTTATTGAGTTATCAATTGAAAATATTAGTTCAGTAGAAATTGAGTATTAATTACAATAAACTCAACAAATAAATTATAAATGCACATCATGGTAAAATTAATATCTTTTTAGCTTGCATACAAGCTAAAATATTAAAAATTACCTATGATTTTCAAAGTATTGCACTACCGCTACTGCTACACTTAAATAAAAACATTTAGTACATTAATCACTAAATTATTTCTATACTTTTTGCGCTATATTTACAAAAAAATTTCTCTTCAAAAATGAATTCGATTAGTTTAATAATTATTACTACAAGATAATGGAGTAGCTAAGGGTAGGCTAAGAGTTAGTGTAATTCTGCCCTACCTTCCTAAAAAATTTATAATGTTGTCACTACTACTGGGATGGGTGTAACTAAAAATTTGAATCTCAATATATTTTGACTTATAGACTGATCGTTGAGGGAGTACACCCTCATTCATGAATAGTTTATAATTTTAGTCATCAATATATCGATAAAGATGATATGCCTCACCGTGATATTTTATCATTAATATTTTTTGATCCAGTGAATATTTTGTTTTACTTTTTTATAGTTTTAAGTTTCTTACTACATTAATAGTATATTTTTTTTATTTTTTTTTGTCTTTAATAAGATAAACAATAGAAGTTTTTTATTTTTTATTATTAGAGCAATTTATTTATCTCTGCTAAATTATATTAAATGATAAACAATTAATATTTTTTGGGATTTCTCTTTTAAGTAGGCCATATAAAATTTGTATCAAATGTCTTCCCATAAACGTGGCACTGATAGAAAACAAAAAGTCGTAAACTAGATGACTGTTCATGTGAGTTTTGATGTCATCAAATGATTAATTTATTAACTAAATAAACTTATTTTATGAGAACTTTTAAAATAAAAACACACTTTTAAAACTATTGCATATCTCGAAACTACAAACAGTTAGCTTTCAGAAAATTGTTTAGGTGAATAATTTTTAATATCCATCTAAAATCATAAACTCGCAGTAGATCCTTTAATCATCTTAATGAATCTCAAACAGTAAACATCCTTTGGTGAATAAATGTAATATACTGGTACCTAATATTTGCTACATGATGTCGACTTAAAATATTAATATTTAATCATTTATAATTAATTATTTTATTCTATTTTTTTAGTTGAAATAATTATTATTTTAACTTTTTGTGTGATACCTTACGGTAATAATATCCGGTACGACATTTTAATTTAAAAGATTTATAATTAAGGTATGTAAAAGCAAATTACATTATTTTACAAACACATGGACTTGTGGCGGTCGAATGGGCAAGGTGGGAGTTGATACCTCATAACGAGTTCAATCATACGTTTCAGATACAATTTTAAAAGGGTAGTACATTTTTATTCACAAGTATAACTTCTTCCTAATAACGTAAAATGCTACTAATGCTACTTCAAAATTTTTGATAACAAATATTTTATTTACCAGATACCCAATTTTTTTGAAAGTCGTAAGCTATGCTCGTTTTATTTGTAAATAGATTTGTGTCTGCCATGTAGTTTATAAAATTCGTTTTAATTATTGTTACAATTAAATAATACTTATTTAATTTATTTTCGAAACGTATTTTACATTTAACTTTACTTTAATCTATGAATGTCCATAATTACAAGGAAGTTTACACTTTAACAGTAATTTACCTGCTTATGAGATTATTGTAAAAGAAAAACATATTAAAGATACTAGTAAAACGTTATCAAACAAAATTGTTAACTCTAAAACCCAAAAAACTAAAACTATAAAAAACCAATGATAAAAACTATGAAAAAACATTATCAAAAATTAAAACAAAATTTAATATACAAATAATTTAAAAAAAATGTGATTAATTTTTTTTTATGCATAATATAATTGTATAAAAAATCAATTAAGTGGTTGCACGGTTATTAAGCAGTGCATTTTTAGTTTTATCATAGCCATTTTTTATCCATTATTAGATTGATTATTATATAATTAAAAAGAGTGAAAAGATTGGTTGTTTTTTAGTTTTTTTATTATTTACTATGTCTAATGTTAAAAATGCTGGGCGAGTTAAAATTCGTTTTTAACTTATTAAAACTAAGTTAAATTAAAATAAAGTTGACGAATTAATAGTTAAAGTTAATCCATGTGTATAATAAATAAATAAAGTCAAAATTTAAGTTATGTCTAATTGATATTTAGCGAAAGAGAAATTTATAAAAGTTTTTTATGTGTAAACGTAAAATCTAATTATCTCCATTAAGCTAAAAAATATAATTTAACTTACCAACTCGTTTATGTCCAGCCTTTTATGTTTGTCTTTCTAAAACTTATGAAGTTCCGAGAAGTTACATCATTAAATGTAGATAGTTAAACTATTTAGTTAGAAATTATCTATACCTAATAGTAATCTGAAAAGTAATTATAATCATTTTTTGATAATAACAATATTTAATTTTCAGTTAAAAAAAAAAAACAAAAAAAATTCCAATCTTTTCCATCACAGTTTTATATATTAACAAAAAGTAGCATAATTTGATAAACATAACAAATAAAATAATATATAAGGGTATAATATTTTAATACATTGAGTGGTATTGATCAATCATTATTTCATTAATCAAAAGTTATTAATGAAGTCATAACCTGGACGGACATTCTGTATATTATAATTAAAAGAAAAAGCAAAAACCACATAAAAGAAGTTATTCTTAATTTTAGACGTTAAAATATAAATATTATGAATTCTAACAAATATTATTATTTAGTTATACGATCTTGGTAATAAATGTTATATTTATTTTTTTCGGATTTGTTTTTAAACTATTTATTAAAAAAATAAGCAAAATAGTTTTTTTGAATAAGTGTGACAATTTTTATGTATAAACTATTTTAAATATGGATGATATTAAGCCTTGTTATACCAATCATTCTAGTTATGCGGCGCTCTCAAGTATACGACAAACACTGTGATTACAATATGACAGGCACTGAAATATTCACAACTAGATAACGCTACATAACCTAACACCACATTTCTTAAATTTATTTGTATGTTATCAACGATATTTGACTTTTTTTTTAAATATATCTAACGTTTTCAAAAATTATTTAGACTGTTGAAGTAACAAATATAACATTAATAAACTATACCCAAAGTGTAGAAGTAGCATAATATAGAAGACATCTGACTAAAAGGGCTTAAAATTATGGTCGAAATTTCTATAGTTTATAATAGTGAAATTATAATTTATTATATAAGCATTATTTTTGTTTCAAAAAATTTACTTTTTCCAATAGTAATGTACGTTTAAAAAAATTTTATATTATACAAACTTTAAACTTTATATTTAGTGTAAGTTTCGATTTGTAAGATATTCAGAAAAATTTTAAAAATTGAAGTTGATTGGATTTTCATAAAAATTATACCAATGGAAAACATTGTAACTTATAAATTTCGTTAGTACAATAGTGCAACAAAAAAATAATTGGGGGATGGGTACAACCCTCTAACCCTTCTCTCTAGTGCACCAATGGATCAGTATATTTTTAAAATACTCATAGAAAAATGTAAAAACATGATGAATTTTTACAGAAATTTCGTCATTTTTGACTAATAAAAAATATTGAGGCGGCGATAGTCATATAATCTTTTATTATTGTCAATAACTCTTTTATAATTGAAAATTAAATAAAAAGGAGGTAATGATTATCTAAACTATATTAAGACGATTTTAAGTAATTCATATTTTACAAAAATTTCTATTTAATAATAACACTAATGTTATATAATAATGAATATTTGATCAAGTTAATAAAATTAGTTAAATTTGATCGATATTTGCTAATTTTTATATAACTACTACATTGACATTAATTTCTTTTAGCGAGAGTTTAGACAAGGTTTTGATCCATGGTTACCTCGAGAAGAATGGGACACATTTGATCCTCATTTAGTATCTGAAGGAGCATTTGCTGCAGCTATGATATTTAGGTTAGTTTTATGAAAAAATTCTATTTATTTTTCAAGTTTTAGTGATTTACAGAAGTAAACGTACTTACACTACTTTTATATTTCTTTCGTAATATGTATGGAAATATTTTCCATAACGTATCTTAGTCTATAAAATTAAAAAATTTAAATTATTAAATTAAACAGAATATATCATATGATCACTTAACAATTAATTGCATTTAACTAATAAATTTATAAGCAACCGACTAAAAAATATAGAAATAGAAGATTTTGTTGATCTGTAATACTTACTTCAGGTTCATTTTTTAGATTTGTATAACACATAGCAGGAGTTAATTTTGACACTACATTATTTTATCACGAGCGTGAGACTTAGACCCTAATGCTTTTGTCTTAATGATGGCCCTTATTTTACCTTATTAAAAAAATGGTCAATCAACGTTAGTACTAAAAATCAATCTTACTACTGTTCTGATAAAATTAATTTTCATTATTTTATTTTATTTAAGATATTAAATCTAAACAAAGTTTTTAATGAACACTCATAATGAAAATTTTCAATAATATTTATTGATTTATTCTGAATAATTTTGTGTCGCAAGTTTTTTTTTTTTGAAGTTATAAGTTATAAGGTTAATAATTTAGTATAAATCTTGTAAAAGTTTTACATTTTTTTCAGCTTTTTAAAACTTGTACATATATTCAGTGTTAATCCACACTTGGGTCCACTTCAAATATCACTAGGTCGAATGATTATTGATATAATAAAATTCTTCTTCATTTACACACTTGTGTTGTTTGCATTTGGATGTGGTAGGATTAAAATCGTACCATCAAAAACAATTTTATTTGCAAATAAATTGATTTTATGCATAGGTCTTAATCAATTATTGTGGTATTATGCTGATTTGGAATCAAAAAAGTGTTACCATGGAAGCGATTTGCCGGACTTTGATAAAGAAGATAAAGCATGTACAACGTGGCGACGATTTGCTAAGTTTGTATTCATTATTTTATAAGTTTAATTGTTCGAATTCATATAAAAATTTAAAATAAAGTATAAATTTAATTGTCTTGTAATAAGTTAAAATTAATTGAAAAAAATTAACAGACAGAAAAGGAGTAAAAAAAAAATCTGTTTAAACAGCTTAAAATATTACTTTTAAATAAGTTTCTGGAATTTTGACAGTATAAAATAAAATTTTTTTTTTAATTCATACTTTTTCAGTATATTTGAAACGTCACAATCTCTTTTTTGGGCCGGATTTGGTTTGGTAGATTTAATGGCCTTTGATTTGACTGGTATCAAAAGTTTTACACGATTTTGGGGTTTACTATTGTTTGGTTCATATTCAGTGATCAACATTATCGTTTTGCTAAATATGCTCATTGCCATGATGTCCAATTCTTACCAAATTATTTCGGTATATTTTTAATATCTGATTAAGAACAGTTGCATAATTGTTCTTTTTTTTAAAGGAACGATCTGATATGGAATGGAAATTTGCTCGTAGTGCATTATGGATATCATATTTTGAAGACGGCGATACTGTACCAGCTCCATTTAATCTTTTTCCATCCTTGAAAAACATAAAACGCATGTTTGGTATTGAAACAAGCAAGAGGTCTACCGGATCTATGATTGTAATAAATTTAATTCACAGTAAAATTGTTGTGAACAAATATACTATTAACTATTAATTATTTTTATCTTAGTTTAAATCTCGTGAAAAAGCTTTAGCTCGTCACGATATAGTTATGAGATTGTTAGTAAGAAGATATGTAACTGCAGAACAGCGTAAGAGTGAAGAATTTGGTATTACTGAAGATGATGTAACAGAGATAAGGCAAGACATTTCATCTATGAAATTTGAAATGATTGATATTTTTAAACGAAATGGGTATAAAACTCCAAAAATGGATGGAGACTCAAATGTCGGTGAGTTGATATTTATATGCAACTTATTCTATTTATTTTGAAAAATTGATTTTAATTTTTAAATATTTTAGCTCAAGGGAAAAAAGGACGTGTTATGGAACGTCGTTTACTAAAAGATTTCCAGATTGGTTTAGTTGAGGGTCTCATACAAGAAGCAATCTCGTCCAATGATAAGGGACCAAAAGATGTGTTTAGTAAAATTGCCAAAGCTATTGGTCGTCGAACGAGTCAGGGTAGTAAAAAGAAAGATTGGAATGCTATGGTTAGGCAGAAGAGTATTGCTAGAGATCCAATAGGAAGTACTGCTGAAGGTATTGAAAGGAGACGCAGACAAAGTGTAAGGCGGTACATTTTGGACCACCAAAAAGACAGTTTGCTATCAATGGATCCAAATAAACTTATTGAGTATAATCCTTTGTTAGCTGAAATAACACCAGCAGCTAGAGTGGCATACGCCAAATTTAAAATTCCTAAAATTAAACAGGAATATGAAGAAAATACTACAGGTCCAGACGAGGTGTTTGAAAGTGGACCCTCGGTTGATTTAGTAGATGAAACAAAAAGAGACTCCATAGTAAGACCTCGACCAAAAGGATCTCGTAAAGATCCTGCACCTGGTGGATTACCCTTTCCATCTTCTAGTTTTGATAATACTGTTAAGCAAACATCATCAAAAACATCTCCCAAGTCGTCTACCATTGAACCAAAGTCTGAACAATCTACTCCATCACGTCAACAAAATTCTATAGAAACTAAAGAAATTTCTAAAATTATAACTAGTAGTATCATTTTAAAACCAGAAGAGCTTGGAAAATCTATTGTTTCTAAATCATCTGAAGAAACACCGCCACAAAGTGACGAAAAAAAAGATTCTAAAAAATTAAAATCTGAGACAAATGAGCTTGAGAAATCTGACCCTACAGACGAAACTAAATTTTTTACGTCTGGAACAAGTGACGTGTATAAAGTAAATGAATCTGAAAAAATTAATGATCAAAAAGAGAAGGAAGAAGATAACTCTAAAAAACCGGAAACGAGTCATTTAAAACCACCTTCTCCTAGACGTTCAGCTAGTCCAAAAAAAGCTGGTGGGAAATCTAAGGTAACAGGAGAAGTTTTAACTGGTTGGCTATAAAAAATTTAACTATTTTAAATATCATGTTATGAAATTTAATTTACATGCTATATGAAGAATTATAATCGTACATCAAAAAACATTTTTATCTATTAATTTATAATCAAAGTGCATATTATGTTCTTATTTTACAGCTTTCATATTTAATTACATATTTAAGTTCACTTTTTTATTTTTTAAATAATTAATAAATTATTATCAAGAGATAACTATTTATTAAACTAATTTTACATTTATATTAGATATCAGTAAATATTTTTAATTTATTGCTTTTTAAATTAATTTAGGAAATTACCATATAATTAGATAATCATTAAACTCGACACAACTTTTTTGAAAAAATAGTTGATTAAAATTACAGGATTGTAAGACTTGTTAGATCGATCTAAGGACCGATCTAAATAATGAAACCAGCATTTTTATTCATAACAGTTTATTACAGAAAAAACATGAATTCTTAAAAACGTTCTAACTACTACTCTTTTTTAAAACAATAACAGCCTATTACCAATGATAATATATAATGCTAAACAGTGTAGCCACCTTACAGCTCGGCCATCCTGACTTATCCCAGTCCCTGGGATAATACTTACAAAAATTCATATCCCTTAACAGTTATAAATTATACAAACAATATCTAAGTTAACATTTTCAATACATAGTTACATTTTTTTTTAAACAATAAAATAATAATTATAGTACAAAACTTATACAAAATAATATCCAAATTACATATAATAACATAATAATAAATAAACATTAATAATATAATTCAATACATAATACAATCAATATTTTATTTTAATAACTATCTATTATCCATTACAATCTCTTATCCAATACTTCATATTATCTGAACTAATAATACCCTCATATGGAATTTGAGTATGCTGAAATCCTTCAATATCCTTCACCACAAACCTATCATTTGGCAAAATTTCATTAATAACATATGGCCCTCTAAATTTTGGTATTATTTTTTTATTTGAACCTACACTAACATCAACATTTCTAATCATGACAAAATCTCCTTTTTTGTATTTAGTTGGTTTTTTATGTTTCTTATCAAAATATACTTTATTATACTTTTGATTCTCACTTATATGGTTATCTGCCTCTTCTCTCACCATTTCTAAATTTACCTCTTCTACATCACCTCCTAATAAATTTCTAAACACTGTATCCACAGTACCGCCTTGGTGTCTACCAAACAATAAAACAGAAGGAGCTTGGCCTGTTGATGAACACACCGTATTATTTAATGCATATTCCACCTCATCAACTACCTTATTCCATTTGTTTAAAGCTTCAGACTTTTTTGATAATATTGCCGTTATACAGCGATTCATCCTCTCTACCTGTCCATTTGCACGAGGTGTACCAGTAGCTATTAATGTTAGGTCAATGTGTAATTCAATGAGAAACTCTCTAAAAATATTACATTTAAATGCTGATCCTCTATCTGCAATGATTCTCCTTGGCTTACTATAACTTCTAAAATAACCATTCAAAAATTTTATTACTTCCGTTGCATTTGTTGTTTTACAGGGATATAATCTACTAAACTTAGTAAAAGCATCAACAACTACTAATAAATATTTGTTCTTCATACCTGTTTTCTCTAATGGACCATAATGATCCACATGAATTGTATCAAAAGGTACTGGAACTTTTGGTATCGGGTGCAATTCACCCTCTTTTTTACCATATGCTGGGGAAAAAGCAATGCACTTTAAACAATCATATATATAACTCTTCACCTTTTCCCTTAAATTTGGAAACCAAAACGTCCTTAAAATTACTTCACTTGTTTTTTCTACACCCATATGACCATAATCCTCATGTACTGATCTAATCACATTTATTTCCATACTTTTAGGAACATAAAATAATAAATTATCTTTACATTTTCTATAAATTAAACCATTCCTTAACTCAAAATATTTGTCCTCTGTCTCACCTAACTGTTCTCTTAACTCATTAATTTCCTTGTCTTTCATTTGACTAATTGATAAAGTCTGCTCAAACGTATTTTCATTTAATACTAATATATTTGTGCTTCGACTCAATGCATCAACATGTTTCATTTTATTACTTGACCTATGTTCAATATCAAAATCATAATTTTGAAATAACAATGCCCATCTGGAGATTCTTGGATTAAGATCTTTCTTTAACATGGTTAATTTGAAGCTCTCACAATCAGTAAACACTTTAAATTTAATTCCGTTCAGATAAACATGAAAGCGCTTTAAACCATATACTAGAGCTAGACACTCCAGTTCATAGCTATGATATCTACTCTCCACTTCCGTAGTACGCTTACTATAATAAAATACAGGATGCATTAACCCATCATTCTGTTTTTGCAATAAAATAACACCATAACCTAATGCACTCGCATCACAATGTACTTCTGTTTCTGCTTTGGGTGAATACAAAGCAAGTATTGGCAACTCTATTAATTTACTCTTCAACAATTCAAAAACTCTCAACTCTTCCTCACCAAATTTAAACTGAGTATTTTTCTTTAGTAAAGCATACAAAGGAGCAGATATTATAGAAAAATTCTCTATAAAACGCCTAAAGTAACTAACTAGTCCTAAAAAACTATGAACATGTCCTACATTTTTAGGCATTGGAAAATTAGTCACTGCACCAACATTATCTGGATCTGGTCTTACCCCTTTGCAATCAACTAAATATCCCAAATAAGTAATCTCTGGTTGCAAAAAAAAACATTTATCTTCTCTTAATTCTAATAAATTTCTATTACATGCCATAAACACTAACTTGATTATCTCTAAGTTTTCCTCTACTGAATTAGTTGCTATTAATAAATCATCTAAGTACACTAGCAACTTTCCTTGAACAATTAGTTCCCTAAATACTAAATTAATAAATCTCATAAAAGCTGAGGGGCTATTACAATAACCAAAAGGTAACCGAACATATTCATACTGACCCAAAAACGTTGAAAATGATAAATATTTAGATGACTGGTCTGCTACTTTAACATGAAAAAATGCATTTTTCAGATCTAACTTTGTGAAATACTTCTTACACCTCAGGTTCTCTAATAAGTCATCAATATGAGGTATAGGATAGTGCTCCTTCACCACTCTCTTATTTAACTCTCTCAAATCTGTACACATACGGTAAGAGTTATTTTTCTTTTTTACCAGAACTATGGGAGAACAAAATTCTGACCTACTTTCTCTAATTACCCCTTTATTCAACAGATCAAAAATTATATCTTTTACTGCAATTTTTTCTGAGTAGGATAATCTTCTAGGCGCATAATTAAATGGAGTTTGGTCTTTTAAGCTAATACTGACTTCATAATCTACTTCTGGTGCATTAGGCTTATTAGCCTCTAAATAATACTTTTTATACATACCTTCTAATCTATGTTTATCCAAAAAAGAAACATCACCAATATTCAATTCAATTCTTTTATTCTGTTCATATTCAATTAATAATAATTCTTGTGAAAACATACTATCACTAAAATCTTCATGATCTTTAATCATTATTTTCCCTGACACCCCAAATGAAACATCTAGCCCATTAATAAAGTCTCTACCTAACAGACATTCTGATACCATAGTTTTATCATCAACTACATAAAATATTTGGTTTTTGCTAATCTTACTCTCAGTTACTAACACATCAACTTTTGCTACTGACTGTATATCTAATAACGACCCATTTATCCCAGATATAGAAAAATTTTGATCAAAAGGCTCTTTATATTCATTTCCAACAAGGTATGATTTTATCAACGATATCGGACTACCGCTATCAATCAACGCGTTAACAAAAACATTATGGTCATTAAAAAAATTTAAACATAACCTTACATAGTAAGCTGGTTCTAAGAGCATAACTTCTTCTGTTACACCATTTTTTTTTTGTTCAAATTTTCTTGACATTTCCTCAACTAACTCCTTGTTCTTCTTTTCTGGACAGGCTGATCTTAAATGAGATGTTGATCCACAACTATAACAAGCGCCTTTCGGTCTTCTAGGCACAGTACAGCTAGATGCTATGTGAGTTTTTGATCCACAGTTAAAACATATGCGTTGAGGTACGCTTGACTTCATCGTACTTAAGTTGCTTTCACTTTCATTTTTAAGTTTACCAATACCTTTAGATATTGGACGTTCACTAACATTCCCAGCGACGGATTTAGGTTGAATTCGATGGTTCCTGCTTTCAACCATTCTTTCGAAATTCATAATGTCGACTAATAACTCATCTTCACTGTTGTGTGATCTACTAAGCAAGTAATGAAACAAGTTTTCAGACTGAGCTCCCAATCCGTCCAAAAATTGCTCTTTTGTATCTTCTATTGCTAAATTCATGTCTCTACACAAACGAATTTTTTCATGAAAGTAGTCTAATATATCTTCATTTTTATTTTGAACTCGGGCAGCCATCACTTTCCACCGACTTCCCATGTTCAACTTTCCCACAAATGTTGTTTCAAATTGTTTTTCAAAATCGGTCCACGAAACAAAATTTCTACCATAGTACCACTGCTTGGCAGGTCCACTTAGATTTACTCTTGCTGCTTCCAATTTAGCCATGTCGGACCAGCGATTCAACTTCGCTGTCCCACACAATGTTTTCAACCAGTCAGACGCTTCATATGGTTTACCTTTACCATTAAACACCGATAATGACTTAGTAAAGTCTTGTGAAAAATACACCTCCTCTTTCTGTGCATTATTCACCAACATACTCATTAACAATTTATTTTGCCGAAGCAATGTATTCATTATAGACTCATCTGAATTCATTCTTTTCTCCACAGTCTCTTGCCCATCACCCATGATAATTTTATTTATTTCATCCTTATCGTAATTGGTCTGTTGCAAATCTTCCACATGCTTACTGCCGTTCATTTTCTTTTTTCATCCGATTCAATCCACAAAATATAGATGTTATATTCTGAATCCCACTTCTGATGTAAGACTTGTTAGATCGATCTAAGGACCGATCTAAATAATGAAACCAGCATTTTTATTCATAACAGTTTATTACAGAAAAAACATGAATTCTTAAAAACGTTCTAACTACTACTCTTTTTTAAAACAATAACAGCCTATTACCAATGATAATATATAATGCTAAACAGTGTAGCCACCTTACAGGATTAAGCTTTTCATATTTTCTAGTTGAAATGTAATAAATTTTAGTATCAATTGTTAATTACAAGAAAACATTTACTCTAACTTGATTATTTTAAAAACAAAATATTAATTTCGTTTTATTTTGCATATAATTCAAAAATTATCATAGTGTATAATTGTAAATAATATAATTAAAATAAAAGAAAACGTTGTTTTATATTTTGTTTATTTT